ATTTCCTGACGTGATAAAAAAAAGGACTAAGGCAATACATTTGATTAATCCCAGCGCCATATGGACCTTGAATAATTCTGGTACAGATATGTAATATCGTTCAGCATGGTGCTTGGCACAGACTGCCAGACCGGTCGGTCGGTAATGCCCTATCACACACAAGCAAACCTTCTATCATATTATATACCACTCTACTTTTGATAGGGATATTCAGACATGTCTTTCTATTTAAATATACACTTGACATATGATGAGAATCAGTTTTGTGTTTCATGGAGATAAAAATATCCCTATCAAAGTTGAGTAGCATGGAACAATCACAGATCTCGTGTTTATCTCAGTTATCAGCTCTACAAATGCTGGGACGATCTTGAGGGACAATAACAGCCTGGAGCAGGTCTTTAATGCTTGTGTCACAGCTCCGAAATACCACGAATTAGCATAATACTTGTACAGTTTGACCAAACTCATAACAACCTACAAATTTGTAGAATTTTCCTATTCGGAATATTCTATAAGTAATACGTTACCACTGTTATACCGAGGCTGTTGTCTCCCACAACTGCTGCTATAGCGAAATCTACCACAGAGATCTCAGTTACCTCATGCAGCACGTGCGTAGCCACCTAGCTGCCATGTGACACCCTTCACTCTTGTCTCTTGCGAGAGCAAGTGCTCGGGAGACGGACGGGCGGGCAGCAGCCCAGTGGTAACGTATTACTTATAGAATATTCCGAATATTACAAATTACATTAAGTAATACGTTACCACTGTTATACCGAGGCTGACTACCACAGTAGGCGGTGGGGAGCACCTACAACCCGAATCCTGACTGCTAGCGTTTCTTCCGACCAGCGGAAGTAAACACCAAGGCGGAAGCACTCGATGCGCATGCACTTAGCTAGGCGTTACCCTATAGGAATACCAAAGCACTGTCAAGCGCATACCGTAAGGCTCAATCGTCATTGCCAAAACGATTGGTGACTCCAAACGGCCCCACTGGATAGGTATTTCATCGCCGCAGCGGATGAGAACACTGTATCCGCGTGAGCTTAATCTTAGATCAGGTTAAACAGTCGAAAAGAGGGAAATTAATTTCATTCAGACCGTATATCCCAGAGCAAGCCTACTTAAAGTATGCATTAGGCGCGTGACCTAATTCCAGTATTTGTAAGCATGCATCACAAGGTTGGGATACACGACAGACAATTAAATACATAATTGTCAAAATACAAATAAGGACAAAGCACACAAAAAGCAGCCCTCACCTGTGGTGTGAGTGCGCTGGTTTGCGGGACCCCAACTCCTGTACCCACGGCAGTGGGAACATTGGAGTCGACCCAGATTGACCACCGTGCAAGGTCTGACGCCTGAGGAGTTCGGAATTGCGCTGGGCACACCCCTTCGGTGCCCGCTTGCGCCGCGATCCGCGGGCCAAGACGGTGCACACTCTCCACGACGGCATCAGCGACCTGTTTGAGGTAATGATTGGCAAAAACCGAGTCAGAACGCCAGTAACAACCTTGTAATATTCTGCGAACAGAGATATTCGAGTGTAGGGCAAATGTTGCCGCTAGCGCCCTGATCTCGTGCGGGTTTGACCCCGCTACCGCTAACCCCCGAGACCGGTACGCCAGATTGATGACAGAACGAAGCCACAACGCAATCGAGTTGCGAGTTATGTCAACCGTGCGATTAGGGTTACACGATATGAACAGACGGTCACGCCCTTGTCTACGTTTATTCGAAGCCTTAAGATAATACTTAAGGGCCCTAACCGGACACAGCGCTCTGTCCTCAGTATCAGCAGGATGTAAGATTTCTTTGAGTGATCTTACAGTGAATTCTCTCTCCGTTTGCCCGACTCTCTGATTCTTGGCGACGAAGCCCATGAGCAGGCCCAGACGGACCGCTCCTTCGTCACCCCTATCGAATCATACCTTGGCGACATCGAGTGCATGAATTTCGGATACACGTGCCGCCGTGGCAAAGGAGAGGAGAAATGCTGTTTTCCAAGTCACATGCCGGAACGAAGCACTATGCAAGGGTTCATACGGAGCTTCCGTAAGTGATTGCAACACTAGGGAAAGATCCCAGGCCGGTGCCCGAAGGCGGCCCTTCTTAAGATCGTGCTGTTTGAAACCCTTGATAATACCCCGTATCACCGGCTCTTTGGGAGAGACTGGTACCCATAGCAACGTCCCGTACCGTAGCAACGGACGAGACATAGTTGGCAATGGAACCCCCGGAGAGTTTCCAGGTCTCTCGCAAGTGAGACATGAAACGAGCAATATCCTGCACAGATACCTTATCTGGCGAATGAATGTGATGTTTACAACACCACTTCGTGAAAATAACCCAACGTGCATTATACACCTTCTGGGTAGAATCACGATGCATACTAACGTATGCCCGAGACGCCCGGCGAGAAAAACCTTTACTCCTCAGACGCTCGGTGACAACATCCACGTGTGCAGATTGAACTGCCCTGGTTTGGATGAAGCTGACGGGTGTGAGGGTGGATCAAGAGATCCGGTCTCACAGGCAGTGGAAGTGGCGACTGCGTGACCTGGGTCAGCAAGTCGGGGTACCACAATCTGTTCGGCCACATGGGCGTGATCAGTAACATTCGACAGCGAACTCCTCGGAGCCGGCTTAGAATGTGTGGTATCAACGCTGTCGGCGGGTAAGCATAAGCGTCCAAGCCCGTCCAGTCTAACGCGAGAGCATCGTGATCGATGGCCCTTGGGTCCGGGACTGGTGATACAAACAACGGGAGTTGATTGTTGAACCGCGTTGCGAACAGGTCGACCATCGGACGACCCAAACGTTCGCACAGCCACTGAAACACTACTGGGTTCAGCATCCACTCTGTGGGGCTCGGATCCTGAGGCCTCGATAGAGCATCGGCCAGTACGTTCCGCACACCTGGGATGTGACGGGCGCGTATCTGGCACAGGACACTGTCCACCAGAGCGTAAAACTCGAACGTGAGATCGAGTAGCGAGTGACTGTGGGTTCCCCCCAGTTTGTTCACATAGGACACTACCGTCGTGTTGTCGGTCGTCAGCATGAGCCGGGCGTCGACGAGACGATGCTTCCAGTGATTGACTGCGTTGATCACTGCCTTGAACTCGAGACAATTGATGTGAAGACCTAGTTCGTCTACGCACCACAGCCCCGAGCTCACCTCCCCCTCTAGATGGGCGCCCCAGCCCACTGGAGAGGCGTCTGTATACAGGTTCAACGTGGCCCGGTAGGGCCGCATAGAGACTACTGATAAGACATTGTAAGGGACCGTCCACCACTCCAGATGCGGTCGGAGCCGATCCGGGAGGGCGACGGTCGCACTGTTCACCTCCGTTGCTAACAACTGGATTAAAAACCGTTGCAGCGGGCGGAGTTGGAGACGACCCCGTTCGGTGCAGTCCTGGGCTGATACAAGTAGCCCTAACAGCTGATCCAAAAAGTGAACAGTCTGTTGCACCGCTAAGACTTTGGCAATCATCGCCTGAATCTTGTGCCACCAGTCTGGGGGGACAAAGAGGCGATGGGACACCGTGTTGAACCGACCTCCGATGAACAGCAAGTTCTGAGAAGGGGTTAACTCGCTCTTGGGGAGATTGATAATCCACCCCAATTGCTCCAAGAGCCGACGTGCGAAAACGAGATGGCGTGACAGGGTGTCCGTCATTCGATTTGCTACTAGCGAGTCGTCCAGGTACGCGAAGTACCGGACACCCCTCCTGTGGAGGAACCCCACTATGGGGTGGTTAACCGGGTGAACAGCCAGGGAGCGGACGTGTGAAACATTCTGACTTCGGCACTGTCCTACTTGGGAACGAGAAATATCCTGGAGTAAAACCCCGGTGTTATTTCTGGTACAGCTAACTCCCGTACTGCCCCTTCTCCACCAACCTGCCGATGGCATCGGCGAGGATGGGAAGATCGGTTTCCGAATCGAAACCTGCCAACGGGGCAACGGTGAGCGGCGGATTCGCTTTGAGATCAAGCCGATAGCCGTACCGAATCGTGTTGACCACCCACGGGTCGTCGAACACTTGTTCCCAATTCTCCCAGTAAGTCTGGAGTCTGGCTCCCAATGGGGAAGGAGAGGGGGCCCTGACAGGCTGCGGCAGGTGCAACTGTCCAGGGCCAAGTGACTCGGGTTCGCCTAAAGGCCAACCGAAGTTGGCGCTGTCGGCATACGAACCCCTCCAATGAGAGTCACCTGGAGGGGCCCTTGCCGTTTGTCGACGACCCAGTTCCCCGTCTTCCCGCGAAAGGGCAGCTGATTGCCCATACCGGAGCCCTCAGGGCGGGGCTACTTCCCAGAGGAAGAATAACCTGACCCCTTAGACCTACCGGCCGCAGCAGCCTGGGGCGCGCTCCGGTTAGGAGCGGCACCCAGGCGCCTATGCAGGGACCCAACAAGAGCAAGTGTGTTCCGAGAGTCCTCGGCAACGTACTCCAGGGAAGCATTTAAACAGAGCAGGCAGTTGTAAATGCGCTGGTCACGGTCCGTGGGAGAACCCTCGACCAGACGGGCCGCTGCAGCCAAGTAAGTGTCTCCGTGAGACATGGAGTGCCGAGCGAGGGCGTCCAGCTGGTGCGAGGTAGCTTGCGTTACCGTAGCAGCCGGTGGGGCACGGACACCCAACCGCTCAACATGGGCCTCCGCGGTAGGACCAGCCTCGGGAAAGGCAAGGTCATGTACCGGGAATAAACCCTTTCTCCACGACGTCGGAGGCAACGGGAGACCCCGACCGGAGGCCGCCGCGAAGGCGTTCTCCAAGGAAGGCTTGAAACCGCGCAGCAAGGTTGATGCGGGGAAAGCCATGTCGGAAGACTCATCGTATACCTCGGAGGAACCCACAGTCATGGATTCCCCGCGGTTCCCGGCCGGGGCATGTCCTCAAAGAGGCCACGCGGTCCTTAACCGATAGCGGGAGCAACGGTTCGGGGGAAGGACCGGTGACCACAGGAGCCGCCGCCGTACCGGTGGACCCCGCGTCCGACCCCGCGGCCACCGAAGTGGCCGGGGACGGAACAGCCAGCGGCCTATCCTGAGATAAGGCCGCCAGCTTGGAGTCCACAAGTTATGCAAGTAATGCAGCGACGGAAACCCCGGACAGCCCACGGGCCGCCAAGGGATCCGCCGCAGCCGTGGTGGTGGTACCCGCTAGGGGACCCCGACCGGACGAGCCGGCCACCACAGGGGTGGAAACAGACTGCACATACAGCCGGTAGCGCTCGCTTGCGGCACACCCCGCAGCTCCTGGTTGCGGGGGTAGAGGGGGTGGAGGACGGCGAAACATCCATGTCAGACATTTTGTTTGTACTATGAACAAAGAGCAAAACATGATTACAACACACGCACCACAAATAGTCACAAACGAGTATTTTCACAAGAAAATAAACGAGCAATGGGAATATAGAACATACACATATAACATATAGAGGAATAAGTGATGTAAAAACCCCAAGATATACTAGAACAGGGGAACGTAAGACGCAACGTGCATACGAGACACCCCGCAAGTATATAGAAAAAAAAGGGCGGGAAAAATATTTCCTTTTGGCGGGAAAAATATTTCCAAGCGTAGTTACAGCAAACGCCCCGTAAAAGCACAGTTTATTAGAGAGAATAAACAGTAATAAATATCACCGAATGGTCGGAGAAACAGGAACGCTTGAGCAGTTTATTGTACGTCTTGCTAGAGCAAGCGAAGAGACAAGAGTGAAGGGTGTCACATGGCAGCTAGGTGGCTACGCACGTGCTGCATGAGGTGATTGAGATCTCTGTGGTAGATTTCGCTATAGCAGCAGTTTTGGGAGACAACAGCCTCGGTATAACAGTGGTAACGTATTACTTAATGTAATTAATCTTACTCAAACCTCGGAGATTATCTGAAGTACTCATGTTCCCACTACCCATGTCAAAGAATGTAAAGTTGATCCAAATGAAGCAGAATTGTCATTCCTTTCTTTCTGACAAAACTCAGAAATTACATCCGTAAGATTTTCATGGAAATCTGGTCTGAATTTGATGTCTGACAACAGGTAAATGCTGTTCCCCCAGTTCACAGTCCTCATCAACTGTTTTGCACTTTGAGTTCTTCCTCTTCGTAACCGCTGTCCTCTTCGATGTCGGGTGTGGGGGCACGCTGGGACCGCACGTACGATGCTGGCTTCTCTCCGCGGACAACCTCGTCAGTGAGAATCACCGTGGAAATATCCGAGCCAGGAACGTCAAACATTGGTTCCAGAAGGATGGACTCCTGAAAAGAGGCGATAGATGCACCACAAGTTCCAACAACTTCAAGTACAGGATGCTGAGCCGAGCTATTGTAACTATTGTAGTTCTATGTGGAAAAACACAAACATCGCAACTGGAACAGACAAGGTGATGGATCCACAAGAGACACCCCTGACATAGGACGACATGAAGACACACCTTCATCTCCATCAGCCCCACAGCGAACATGGAGTTGTACACGTGGACTTATTATACACCAAACACATGCAAGAAATAAATAATGACAACTATTTAGGTGATTGTGCTGAGTATACATCAATAGTTCATAGTTCAAGAACATTTTTCCCCCAATGTGTTTTGTTTGTTTGTTTTTTGTTTAATGCCGCACTCAGTAATTTTCCAGCTATATGACGGCGGTATGTAAATAATGGAGTCTGGACTAGACAATCCAGTGATTGACATCATGAGCATCAATCTACACAATTGGAATGCGATGACATGCATCCAACAAGTCGGCAAGCCTGACCCCGTTAGTCACCTCTTACGACAACCCCCAATGTGTGTGGTATCAAACCTCCACACTGTGATGAACTTTGAAGGTCAAGCCATCAGTTCAGAGAGAGATTATCTTCATCACTGGGCTGCCATGATACACCCTGACCACAGGAAAGTGTTCAGATTGTCACCTTACCATCCCTCGTTCCCTGCCACTACAACAACCAACCACCATTTTTGTTGCTGTTACAAGAAGCATCGTTATAACACAAAACAGTTAGAAATTAGCACTACAAGGGATGTATTCAGCCCTGATATCTCTGTGGAGATGAGGAGACAGAAGCCACCTCGTAGAAGTACCAGCAAGTGAAGACGTTCCCATCACCACAGCAACAGACGACACACAGATAGAGATGTCATCGATGACATCCCTACACATCTCCCTACTTTCCTGCCATCATTTGTTATGAACTAAAGCAGGGCTAGAAAACAGTAGGGAAGAGGGTGAGGACACGGTATCCCTTACCATGATAGCGCGCAGACCTCGGGCTCCAGTCTTCCTCTCCAGGGCCATGGCAGCTATAGCCTTCATCGCCTCGGGCTTCACGTCCAGGTGAGCCTGCAACATCCACAACTACATCTGGGTACCTGCTGGAAACTAGCCACAAACTGCAGTATAGTTTTCACAGTGAAAACAAGGGAATAACGATGTAACTCCTGTTTTGTTATTCTACGCAGAGAACTAATACAATAGAACGGGACCATGACGCTTTCAAGAGCCTTGAAAATATCTCGCTTGGATTATCTAAGTTATTAAAGTGGAGAATATGAATTGCATTATCATGTCACTATCAGCAGCCTGTTCATCTATACAAGGATGGGGAGAGAGGCCATCTTTGATACATACTGGTTGACATTGGCAATAGTCTTGGATAAACTTTTCAGCAAATTCCACATTATTGCGGGTCTGATGAACCAGAGGTATAGTTCTTCTACTATTCCAAATGCCAGCTGATGTTGGTATGAGGCTATTCTATAAGTTGTCAACCGATCTCGAGGGGCACGTGGTGTGATGTACCCTCTGTGTGGGCCCATGTACCTCGAGCTGTCAAACGCTCACACACAGGGTACATCACACCACGTGCCCCGAGGGAACGGTTGACAGCAAATTTATCTCCCTGACATTCATTCATACAGACCTGGAATATATATCAGGAGTTTCACCGAGTCAGAAAAACTCGGCATACTTATCTTAAGTAAACAACAACACAACTGACACTGAAGTAGGCAGCCATGTTGACATTCAGCAGACGACACAAATGAACTGAGTTACTTCCCTTTACCCAATGCATTCGGGTATACACAGGTTCATTTCAGCTCAACGATTCTTATGCTAGCGGGCTACATCAGCATGAAAAAAAGATGCCAGCTCCTTACCAATCAGAAGCTAGTATTTAAATGTAAGGTGAGATCCACTTATCTGTTACATGATATTGGTTGTAATCCGGACACACAGCTTGACTCCTTCATAGGTTTAGGGATATTCCTTATACTGCTATTTAATCATAATAATGAAAAACAACAAATTTTTCATTCACAGGCTGAGATAATGCTGTGCACCTACGTTCATAGCGACGAAATAATATGATTTTTTTTTTAAATCAGGGAGAACTATTTAGGCTTTAACAATGGATGTATTGTAGTGCATCAGCTGCAGAGATACAGCCGTGTGCTGCCTGGCCCTCTCACCTTGTCCATGCTGAAGAGGGCCTGGTACTGTGGCACCAGGGCGTTGTGCGGCTTCGTCAGGATCTCCACCAGCATCTCCTCCGACAGACTGTGGAAGGGCACGATCACCGGAAGTCGGCCCACGAATTCAGGAATCATGCCAAACTCTATCATGTCTCTTGCCTCTACCTGACGCAACAGAACGTCTTTCTCTTCGTTCTCGGCAACAGCCGTGGCGCCGTCGGCCTGGTTCTTAAAGTCGGCAACAGTAGCAGCGCGACGGCCCTGGCTGGTGTTGGACATGGCGCCAAATCCCAAATACTGAAAAGTGTCATGTATGCATATTTGTAAATAATCCACAAGAGATTTACATCATTTGTACTAAAAACAAACAGACAATAAGTACATTATTCAGAGTCCAAAACCTTACTCACTTTCACCTTGATGTTATATTGTAAATGTACAGTCAGGTCCTGTTAATCCGACATGTGATTATGTCGGATTAACGAGTAAATCGGATAAACAAAATTAAGTAGTATTAATGGTGATGATCGAAAATAGGACAACTACATAATAGATAACAACACATATACATTGTAATAAAATAATCAAAAAGAAAATGTTCATATTGTTTGGTTGTATTGTTAGCGGAATATGTATCACAATCATGCACCCTCCAAAGCACAACACACGACTACCTGCTAGTCATTTCATGGGTCGATCAAAGTTCGCAAAAAATCATTCTGACGTGACCTGTAAGGGGATGTCCTCAGTGGTAGCAAGAACTTCAATTTGATTTGAATGATATTGAGGTTATCTTAACATGTCATTAATCCTGTTTAGTTAAAAGAAGTAATTGTTTATTGTGAAGCGAGTTTATCTCTGCAGCCATGTAATATGCAGCCATGTAATATGCAGCTACAAAGTGGACTCAAAACCTTGTGCTGTGAACTCGCTGGCAAACGAGCACGGAGTGCGGTGATCACTGTCGGATGAATGAGACTGACTAATGAGTGATTTCGGTAATTCGTAGAAAATTAGGTGTGTTGGAGTCGGACTGAGAGACTGTCAGAATAACGTATCTAAATAGCCGATTTAATCGGTTCCCATCACTAGTGTTCAATAAAGCTGATTGTCAGATTAACGAGACTTGACTGTACATTGATATTTAATGCTCTTGTTCCGAAGGCTCATCAGTAAAGTCACCAATACTGCCAATGCTGTGTGTGGTCATAAAATGGGTAAACACCATGACATGAATGCAACTAGTCCCAAATTCAGGACAAGACATATATATCTAACATTATTACGCAAGTGGATGTGTCAAGTTCTGTTAGGTTCCCTCGAGTTGGGCAACAAGTGGGTGGTTCTAGCTCTAGTAAGGAAGTCTAGCCAATCGGCTGCTCTGCTGACTTTTTCCGTTTTCCTCCGGCTGATGATCCTGTCTAGGCCGTTGAAGGCGCCCGAGGCAACAAACAGGATGTTGGTCGTGTCCACCTGCACTGTCTCCCCACGCAGCTTGCGGGAGTTCCGCTCCGGGACATTCACCACCGTCCCCTCCAGCATCTTCAACATGCCCTGCAGGAGAAACACACTCAGGTACTAGACACCAGAACACCTTCAGATGAAGGATCCAATAAGACATGGGTCAACTCTCTCTACATTCAGGATACAGAAGTATATAACTATAGACAGGCTCCTAGGGTGAGAGTCTTGTGTTGTCTAAGGTTGCTCCTCTCACCTGCTGAACTCCCTCTCCCCCGACATCTCGCAGCTGGTGGATCCCCGGGACGCTGCCGATCTTGTCCACCTCATCCAGGAACACAATACCTGTTGACAAACAATGATTCAAGCAATGAAAATTATGGTTATTTGGTCAGATCAGATAGAAAGTGAAGTAATTATGTTTTAAATGTCCTGTATTTTGAATGTTTTATGCAAACTGACCAATGATGTTGAGAGTATCAGCTACCTTCCCTTGTAAGGCTTTTTTTTTAAACAAAGGAGACATAAGGTAGTGGTATCAATCTCATTAGCCAAATTATGAACCATCATTGATCTACAGAGACGGAGCTCTACTTATAACTTACTGAGCCTAATATGTATGTCTGTTTGTACCAAGTGCCTGTCAAAAATATTTTCAAATTGATTTCTAACCCTTACTTGTCAAAAGAACATTGTCCTTTGAACACACTGAATAACTCCAAGTGTTATTTACCATACTACATCAATAATTCCTGTGTTATGTGAAAACTGTCATGCTTTTTAGGTGAGGTGAGGTCAGCTGAAATGGGGTTTAATGTCACATTCAAGAATACTGCACGTATATATAGCGATGTGCATGCATGGATGCATGTGTGTGTGTGTGTGTGTGTGTGTGTGTGTGTGGCTGTTTGTACTAGTCCGAACTAATGCCGGTTTTTTAGTGCTAGCCCACTGAGATACAATACCACAGTTTAACATGATTACCCCACTCAGACACAGTTCACCGACTCTGACCCAACCAGTCCTTGTTTTATCCCCTTAATGCCGAACGCCAGGCAGGGTAATAACAAGAACCATCTTTTAATGTCTTTTGGTATGATGCGGTCGGGGATTGAACCCCGGAACAAAATCAAATAGTGAGTACAAGATTATGTACATGTTCACATTGTTGGGATCAGGAGTGGTTTTGTCTGGTGCAACTAGGTTTTCATGTCAAAATGCACGAGGTGCAAGTTAAATCAAGTCCTGGCATCTACTAAAGCTACTGGGTGCGTACCTTGCTGAGCCTTGTCTACGTTGTAGTTGGCATCCTGAAGCAGCTTGGCGATGACGGACTCGATGTCCTCCCCCACGTAACCGGCCTGGGTGAGGGTAGTACAGTCACAGATGGCAAAAGGCACGTCCAGACACCGGGCCAGGGTCTGTGCTAGCAGTGTCTTCCCTGAACACATGGCAACAATGTCAGAATCAAACACTGGATCAGGGAGTTTCGTAGTCCGACGATCAGCTTGCTAGTTATTTCAAAGGTTTAAGGAAGATTTTTAATAGTTACAATAGAGTAAAATAATTTTCATTTGTTAAGAAATACTTACTCTCAAAAACAATTTTAGCAAAATATTTTGACATGTTGGCTAGAGTAATCTTTGAATCAGTGAGTCAACGTTGCTGTGTACCACAATTGGCAATATTTACACTGTATCATGGCAGCATGTGAGTAATTGTGACACACAAGCTTAGTTTCTTTGTTTGTTGTTTAATGCAGCACTCAGCAATATTCCAGCCATATGATGGCGGTCTGTAAATAATGGAGTCTGGACCAGACAATCAAATGAGTAACATCATGAGCATCGATCTACGTGATTGGGATACGATAACCTAGTCAGCGAGCCACCTTCCTATTAGTCGCCTCTAACGACAAGTATGGTTGCTGAAGACCTGTTCTCTACCTGGATCTTCATGGGGAGACATACACGCTTAAGCCAGGTAAACCTATGTTTAAAAGCAAGAATGACACAATTCAACCATGTAACACATTGTAGCCACATGGTCCTGATCAGGGCTGGACATGAAACACCATTGTCCTAATGTGGACATTCAGCATGGGAGGACTCACCTGACCCCGTGGGTCCCAGCATCAGGATATTACTCTTCTCCAACCTCAGCTCATGACTCGTTGACTCCAGGATGTCGGAGCGGCGGGCTGTCTCCTCTTGCTGCTGCTGTTGCTGCTGCTGTTGCTGTTGTAGACTTGGGCCAAGTGGATTCCCAGGGCCACTCACAGCAATATGCAGCATGTCTGAGCAATACAATACAGGCTGTTATATGGCAGTGTATCTTATTCTTTAACAATGATTGTGACTGTGTTACATTGTTTCTGTGGAGAGTCAGTAGACGCTCACTGCTTTGTTTGGACAGTGATCAGTCGTCAGGGGGTTACTATGTTTAGATGCTGGTAGTGTGTAAACTTCTGGTCTGGGTATACCCGGGACGGTGATAGTATATAATGGAAACATCTGGCACTGTAGAAGTTTCCAGTTGCTAGGTAGGTTGCATATAAGGGTATAATAGCGTGTTTACATATCTCTTACACATTTCGTCTCTCACACATTTTCATCGCTTTGGTACCAGCTTTCACGTGAGGATTGCTTGTCATCCCTGATTCCCTGCCTAGCCCCTCTTAGAAGCTTGACAACTGTTGACGCTGGGTGAATACATATTATTATCACTGACTTTCTCTATCACCACTGTATTTGTGTATTTGATACTGACCACTGACATCATATTACATATTACCATTGAATATTGTACTACCACTCTATTGTTTACTGCCATTGTAATTGCTGTGCAATAATTTGTGTTGATTTGTAAACCTAGTTAATTTTGTAATACAATTGTTGATTGTACACGACCTTCACTTACACATACAGATTTCTGGATTAACATATTGTTTCAATTTGGTAATTGACACGTAACAAGTCAAACAATTAAACAACAATCCCGGACATCAAATGATCCAACATCTGCCTGTATTGTTACCATGCTGAGTATCAGTTTCTGTCTCTAAAGTAGTTCACATAACACACGAATTATGGATGTAGTATGGAAAATAACACTTGCTGATATTGAGTGTGTTCACAAATTTTCAAACAAAGATTTATTTTCACAACCAACAAATAAAATATATTAAACCATAAATTTTGATACTTTCATTAATAAGTACATGTCATTTTATACAAATTCAGGGCTTTTCAAGCTATTTTGGTGATTTTCAAGGCTTTTATAGAGGGACATTAATTAAAACTTAGGCCTTTCAAGCGTGTACACACCTTGTTAAAGAAACAATGTTTTTAAAATCAAAACATAATACTGAATGAATGTTGATTAATGCCACAGTATTATTCAAGCCTGTAATAATTAAATCTATTCAAGGCAAACAAGTGATTAACAGCACAATAGCAACAATTCATACCACAAGGTGACAAATATCAACAGCCAGGTTATACATGTTATATGCACCCCCACCATCCTCATTTAAGTGTCTGTTATGACCAGTATTGGGTATTTCTGCCCCAGAATCACCACAGGGGCAAATATAACTGAGGTAAGAATTCATTTTACTGCTAACCGTCCACCACGTTGGTTAGGGATATACATAAGCTCTTAGTAACAGTTTCTAAAAAAACAGGTGTTGGGTTGTTTTTTTTTTAAATCATATGAAGCCATATTATTGCAAGCAGAGGAATTATTGTCTGGTGATGTTCCGCTTTATCACCCTATTGTCCAAACAGTATCACATGCATCAATATTGGCAGCATGCATCAAACACACATGGCGACTGGGTGTCATGTCAAACACTTGCCTACCTATAACTATAGTAATACAAACATTCTGTAAATATTTTATCTTACCTCTTGGCGAAAATGTGTTTGGGTAGCGTGTTGGGTCATGTACAGTAACCTCGGTGTTCTGCTTGTTGGTGGTGTTGACTGGGAGGTTGTGATAGATCCGCTTGTAATGGTTGTACACGGCCACAGCCAGCACCTTCTTCGCGTAGTCCTGGCCCACCACAAACCGGTCGAGGAACTCGAAGATCTGAAACAATCACACTCATACACCTGTAGCTACGATAGCTAAACCACTATCAACTAATCTCAGAATGGAAATGTCACATTAAGAACAAATAAAACATGTACAAATGCAGATGGTCTCCCGGAGGGTCGCGGTCCCTGTGGGTCCAGTGCTAGGGATCTCTACTGTCCCTGTGGATCCAGTGCTAGGGATCTCTACTGTCCCTGTGGATCCAGTGCTAGGGATCTATACTGTCTCTGTGGATCTAGAGCTAGGGATCTATACTGTCACTGTGGAACCAGTGCTAGGGATCTCTACTGTCTCTGTGGATCTAGTGCAAGGGATCTCTACTGTCTCTGTGGATCCAGTGCTAGGGATCTCTACTGTCCCTGTGGGTTCAGCACTAGGGATCTCTACTGTCTTTGTGGATCCAGTGCTAGGGATCTCTACTGTCCCTGTGGATCTAGTGCTAGGGATCTCTACTGTCCCTGTGGATCCAGTGCTAGGGATCTCTACTGTCTCTGTGGATCCAGTGCTAGGGATCTCTACTGTCCCTGTGGATCTAGAGCTAGGGATCTCTACTGTCTCTGTGGATCCAGTGCTAGGGATCTATAATGTCTCTGTGGATCTAGTGCTAGGGATCTCTACTGTCCCTGTGGATCCAGTGCTAGGGATCTCTACTGTCCCTGTGGATCCAGTGCTAGGGATCTCTACGGTCTCTGTGGGTTCAGCACTAGGGATCTCTACTGTCTCTGTGGATCTAGAGCTAGGGATCTATACTGCCTCTGTGCATCCAGCTGATAACTGTCACTGAACCCCCATGGGGGCTGGTACTAGAGACATCTACTGTCACTGAACCCCCATGAGGGCTGGTACTAGAGACATCTACTGTCACTGAACCCCCATGAGGGCTGGTACTAGAGACATCTACAGTCACTGAACCCCCATGAGGGCTGGTACTAGAGACATCTACTGTCACTGAACCCCCATGGGGCCTGGTACTAGAGACAGCTACTGTCACTGAACCCCCATGGGGCCTGGTACTAGAGACAGCTACTGTCACTGAACCCCCATGGGGCCTGGTACTAGAGACAGCTACTGTCACTGAACCCCCATGGGGCCTGGTACTAGAGACATCTACAGTCACTGAACCCCCATGAGGCCTGGTACTAGAGACATCTACAGTCACTGAACCCCCATGAGGGCTGGTACTAGAGACATCTACTGTCACTGAACCCCCATGGGGCCTGGTACTAGAGACAGCTACTGTCACTGAACCCCCATGGGGCCTGGTACTAGAGACAGCTACAGTCACTGAAGACTCAATGGGCCTGGTACTAGAGACATCTACAGTCACTGAACCCCCATGGGGCCTGGTACTAGAGACATCTACAGTCACTGAAGCCTCAATGGGCCTGGTACTAGAGACATCTACAGTCACTGAACCCCCATGGGGCCTGGTACTAGAGACAGCTACAGTCACTGAACCCCCATGGGGCCTGGTACTAGAGACATCTACAGTCACTGAACCCCCATGGGGCCTGGTACTAGAGACATCTACAGTCACTGAAGCCTCAATGGGTCTGGTACTAGAGACATCTACAATCACTGAACCCCCATGGGGCCTGGTACTAGAGACATCTACAGTCACTGAAGACTCAATGGGCCTGGTACTAGAGACATCTACAGTCACTGAAGACTCAATGGGCCTGGTACTAGAGACATCTACAGTCACTGAAGCCTCAATGGGCCTGGTACTAGAGACACCTACAGTCACTGAAGACTCAATGGGCCTGGTACTAGAGACATCTACTGTCACTGAAGCCTCAATGGGCCTGGTACTAGAGACACCTACTGTCACTGAAGCCTCAATGGGCCTGGTACTAGAGACACCTACAGTCACTGAAGACTCAATGGGCCTGGTACTAGAGACATCTACAGTCACTGAACCCCCATGGGGCCTGGTACTAGAGACATCTACAGTCACTGAAGACTCAATGGGCCTGGTACTAGAGACATCTACAGTCACTGAACCCCCATGGGGCCTGGTACTAGAGACATCTACAGTCACTGAACCCCCATGGGGCCTGGTACTAGAGACATCTACAGTCACTGAACCCCCATGGGGCCTGGTACTAGAGACATCTACAGTCACTGAACCCCCATGGGGCCTGGTACTAGAGACATCTACAGTCACTGAAGCCTCAATGGGCCTGGTACTAGAGACATCTACAATCACTGAACCCCCATGGGGCCTGGTACTAGAGACATCTACAGTCACTGAAGACTCAATGGGCCTGGTACTAGAGACATCTACAGTCACTGAAGACTCAATGGGCCTGGTACTAGAGACATCTACAGTCACTGAAGCCTCAATGGGCCTGGTACTAGAGACATCTACAGTCACTGAACCCCCATGGGGCCTGGTACTAGAGACATCTACAGTCACTGAAGACTCAATGGGCCTGGTACTAGAGACATCTACAGTCACTGAACCCCCATGGGGCCTGGTACTAGAGACATCTACAGTCACTGAAGACTCAATGGGCCTGGTACTAGAGACATCTACAGTCACTGAACCCCCATGGGGCCTGGTACTAGAGACATCTACAGTCACTGAACCCCCATGGGGGCTGGTACTAGAGACATCTACAGTCACTGAAGACTCAATGGGCCTGGTACTAGAGACATCTACAGTCACTGAACCCCCATGGGGCCTGGTACTAGAGACATCTACAGTCACTGAAGACTCAATGGGCCTGGTACTAGAGACATCTACAGTCACTGAACCCCCATGGGGCCTGGTACTAGAGACATCTACAGTCACTGAAGCCTCCATGGGCCTGGTACTAGAGACATCTACAGTCACTGAACCCCCATGGGGCCTGGTACTAGAGACATCTACAGTCACTGAAGCCTCAATGGGCCTGGTACTAGAGACATCTACAGTCACTGAAGACTCAATGGGCCTGGTACTAGAGACATCTACAGTCACTGAAGCCTCAATGGGCCTGGTACTAGAGACATCTACAGTCACTGAACCCCCATGGGGCCTGGTACTAGAGACATCTACAGTCACTGAAGACTCAATGGGCCCGGTACTAGAGACATCTACAGTCACTGAAGACTCAATGGGCCTGGTACTAGAGACATCTACAGTCACTGAAGCCTCAATGGGGCCTGGTACTAGAGACATCTACAGTCACTGAACCCCCATGGGGCCTGGTACTAGAGACACCTACAGTCACTGAAGCCTCAATGGGCCTGGTACTAGAGACACCTACAGTCACTGAAGCCCCATGGGGCCTGGTACTAGAGACATCTACAGTCACTGAAGCCTCAATGGGTCTGGTACTAGAGACATCTACTGTCACTGAACCCCCATGGGGCCTGGTACTAGAGACACCTACAGTCACTGAAGCCTCAATGGGCCTGGTACTAGAGACACCTACAGTCACTGAAGACTCAATGGGCCTGGTACTAGAGACACCTACAGTCACTGAACCCCCATGGGGCCTGGTACTAGAGACACCTACAGTCACTGAAGCCTCAATGGGCCTGGTACTAGAGACATCTACAGTCACTGAACCCCCATGGGGCCTGGTACTAGAGACATCTACAGTCACTGAAGCCTCAATGGGTCTGGTACTAGAGACATCTACTGTCACTGAACCCCCATGGGGCCTGGTACTAGAGACACCTACAGTCACTGAAGCCTCAATGGGCCTGGTACTAGAGACACCTACAGTCACTGAAGACTCAATGGGCCTGGTACTAGAGACACCTTCAGTCACTGAACCCCCATGGGGCCTGGTACTAGAGACATCTACAGTCACTGAAGCCTCAATGGGCCTGGTACTAGAGACATCTACAGTCACTGAACCCCCATGGGGCCTGGTACTAGAGACATCTACAGTCACTGAACCCCCATGGGGCCTGGTACTAGAGACATCTACAGTCACTGAACCCCCATGGGGCCTGGTACTAGAGACAGCTACAGTCACTGAAGCCTCAATGGGCCTGGTACTAGAGACATCTACAGTCACTGAACCCCCATGGGGCCTGGTACTAGAGACATCTACAGTCACTGAAGCCTCCATGGGGCCTGGTACTAGAGACACCTACTGTCACTGAAGCCTCAATGGGCCTGGTACTAGAGACAGCTACTGTCACTGAAGCCTCCATGGGCCTGGTACTAGAGACATCTACAGTCACTGAAGCCTCCATGGGCCTGGTACTAGAGACATCTACAGTCACTGAACCCCCATGGGGCCTGGTACTAGAGACATCTACAGTCACTGAACCCCCATGGGGCCTGGTACTAGAGACACCTACAGTCACTGAAGCCTCAATGGGCCTGGTACTAGAGACATCTACAGTCACTGAACCCCCATGGGGCCTGGTACTAGAGACACCTACTGTCACTGAACCCCCATGGGGCCTGGTACTAGAGACAGCTACAGTCACTGAAGCCTCAATGGGCCTGGTACTAGAGACAGCTACTGTCACTGAAGCCTCAATGGGCCTGGTACTAGAGACACCTACTGTCACTGAAGCCTCAATGGGCCTGGTACTAGAGACATCTACAGTCACTGAACCCCCATGGGGCCTGGTACTAGAGACATCTACAGTCACTGAAGCCTCCATGGGCCTGGTACTAGAGACATCTACAGTCACTGAAGCCTCAATGGGCCTGGTACTAGAGACACCTACAGTCACTGAACCCCCATGGGGCTGGTACTAGAGACATCTACAGTCACTGAAGCCTCAATGGGCCTGGTACTAGAGACATCTACAGTCACTGAAGCCTCCATGGGCCTGGTACTAGAGACATCTACAGTCACTGAACCCCCATGGGGCCTGGTACTAGAGACAGCTACTGTCACTGAACCCCCATGGGGCCTGGTACTAGAGACATCTACAGTCACTGAAGCCTCCATGGGCCTGGTACTAGAGACAGCTACTGTCACTGAAGCCTCAATGGGCCTGGTACTAGAGACACCTACTGTCACTGAAGCCTCAATGGGCCTGGTACTAGAGACATCTACAGTCACTGAACCCCCATGGGGCCTGGTACTAGAGACATCTACAGTCACTGAACCCCCATGGGGCCTGGTACTAGAGACAGCTACTGTCACTGAAGCCTCAATGGGCCTGGTACTAGAGACACCTACAGTCACTGAAGACTCAATGGGCCTGGTACTAGAGACATCTACAGTCACTGAACCCCCATGGGGCCTGGTACTAGAGACAGCTACTGTCACTGAAGCCTCAATGGGCCTGGTACTAGAGACACCTACAGTCACTGAAGCCTCAATGGGCCTGGTACTAGAGACAGCTACAGTCACTGAAGCCTCAATGGGTCTGGTACTAGAGACAGCTACTGTCACTGAAGCCTCAATGGGCCTGGTACTAGAGACACCTACTGTCACTGAAGCCTCAATGGGCCTGGTACTAGAGACATCTACAGTCACTGAAGCCTCAATGGGCCTGGTACTAGAGACATCTACAGTCACTGAAGACTCAATGGGCCTGGTACTAGAGACAGCTACAGTCACTGAACCCCCTGGGGGCCTGGTACTAGAGACATCTACAGTCACTGAACCCCCATGGGGCCTGGTACTAGAGACATCTACAGTCACTGAACCCCCATGAGGCCTGGTACTAGAGACATCTACAGTCACTGAAGACTCAATGGGCCTGGAACTAGAGACATCTACAGTCACTGAAGCCTCAATGGGCCTGGTACTAGAGACATCTACAGTCACTGAACCCCCATGAGGCCTGGTACTAGAGACATCTACAGTCACTGAAGACTCAATGGGCCTGGAACTAGAGACATCTACAGTCACTGAAGCCTCAATGGGCCTGGTACTAGAGACAGCTACAGTCACTGAACCCCCATGGGGCCTGGTACTAGAGACAGCTACAGTCACTGAAGCCTCAATGGGCCTGGTACTAGAGACATCTACAGTCACTGAACCCCCATGGGGCCTGGTACTAGAGACATCTACAGTCACTGAAGCCTCCATGGGCCTGGTACTAGAGACATCTACAGTCACTGAAGCCTCCATGGGCCTGGTACTAGAGACAGCTACTGTCACTGAACCCCCATGGGGCCTGGTACTAGAGACATCTACAGTCACTGAACCCCCATGGGGCCTGGTACTAGAGACATCTACTGTCACTGAACCCCCATGAGGGCTGGTACTAGAGACAGCTACAGTCACTGAAGCCTCAATGGGCCTGGTACTAGAGACATCTACAGTCACTGAACCCCCATGGGGCCTGGTACTAGAGACAGCTACTGTCACTGAACCCCCATGGGGCCTGGTACTAGAGACATCTACAGTCACTGAAGCCTCAATGGGCCTGGTACTAGAGACACCTACAGTCACTGAACCCCCATGGGGCCTGGTACTAGAGACATCTACAGTCACTGAAGCCTCCATGGGTCTGGTACTAGAGACATCTACAGTCACTGAACCCCCATGGGGCCTGGTACTAGAGACAGCTACTGTCACTGAACCCCCATGGGGCCTGGTACTAGAGACATCTACAGTCACTGAAGACTCAATGGGCCTGGTACTAGAGACACCTACAGTCACTGAACCCCCATGGGGCCTGGTACTAGAGACATCTACAGTCACTGAAGCCTCAATGGGCCTGGTACTAGAGACATCTACAGTCACTGAAGACTCAATGGGCCTGGTACTAGAGACATCTACAGTCACTGAAGCCTCCATGGGCCTGGTACTAGAGACATCTACAGTCACTGAAGACTCAATGGGCCTGGTACTAGAGACATCTACAGTCACTGAACCCCCATGGGGCCTGGTACTAGAGACATCTACAGTCACTGAACCCCCATGGGGCCTGGTACTAGAGACAGCTACAGTCACTGAACCCCCATGGGGCCTGGTACTAGAGACAGCTACTGTCACTGAACCCCCATGGGGCCTGGTACTAGAGACATCTACAGTCACTGAAGCCCCATGGGGCCTGGTACTAGAGACATCTACAGTCACTGAAGCCTCAATGGGTCTGGTACTAGGGACATCTACAATCACTGAACCCCCATGGGGCCTGGTACTAGAGACATCTACAATCACTGAACCCCCATGAGGCCTGGTACTAGAGACATCTACAGTCACTGAAGCCTCAATGGGCCTGGTACTAGAGACAGCTACAGTCACTGAACCCCCATGGGGCCTGGTACTAGAGACATCTACAGTCACTGAACCCCCATGGGGCCTGGTACTAGAGACATCTACAGTCACTGAACCCCCATGAGGCCTGGTACTAGAGACATCTACAGTCACTGAAGACTCAATGGGCCTGGAACTAGAGACATCTACAGTCACTGAAGCCTCAATGGGCCTGGTACTAGAGACATCTACAGTCACTGAACCCCCATGAGGCCTGGTACTAGAGACATCTACAGTCACTGAAGACTCAATGGGCCTGGAACTAGAGACATCTACAGTCACTGAAGCCTCAATGGGCCTGGTACTAGAGACAGCTACAGTCACTGAACCCCCATGGGGCCTGGTACTAGAGACAGCTACAGTCACTGAAGCCTCAATGGGCCTGGTACTAGAGACATCTACAGTCACTGAACCCCCATGGGGCCTGGTACTAGAGACATCTACAGTCACTGAAGCCTCCATGGGCCTGGTACTAGAGACATCTACAGTCACTGAAGCCTCCATGGGCCTGGTACTAGAGACAGCTACTGTCACTGAACCCCCATGGGGTCTGGTACTAGAGACATCTACAGTCACTGAACCCCCATGGGGCCTGGTACTAGAGACATCTACTGTCACTGAACCCCCATGAGGGCTGGTACTAGAGACAGCTACAGTCACTGAAGCCTCAATGGGCCTGGTACTAGAGACATCTACAGTCACTGAACCCCCATGGGGCCTGGTACTAGAGACAGCTACTGTCACTGAACCCCCATGGGGCCTGGTACTAGAGACATCTACAGTCACTGAAGCCTCCATGGGCCTGGTACTAGAGACATCTACAGTCACTGAACCCCCATGGGGCCTGGTACTAGAGACAGCTACTGTCACTGAAGCCTCCATGGGCCTGGTACTAGAGACATCTACAGTCACTGAAGACTCAATGGGCCTGGTACTAGAGACATCTACAGTCACTGAACCCCCATGGGGCCTGGTACTAGAGACATCTACAGTCACTGAACCCCCATGGGGCCTGGTACTAGAGACAGCTACAGTCACTGAACCCCCATGGGGCCTGGTACTAGAGACAGCTACTGTCACTGAACCCCCATGGGGCCTGGTACTAGAGACATCTACAGTCACTGAAGCCTCAATGGGCCTGGTACTAGAGACATCTACAGTCACTGAACCCCCATGGGGCCTGGTACTAGAGACAGCTACAGTCACTGAACCCCCATGGGGCCTGGTACTAGAGACATCTACAGTCACTGAACCCCCATGGGGCCTGGTACTAGAGACACCTACTGTCACTGAACCCCCATGGGGCCTGGTACTAGAGACATCTACAGTCACTGAAGCCTCAATGGGCCTGGTACTAGAGACATCTACTGTCACTGAAGCCTCAATGGGCCTGGTACTAGAGACACCTACAGTCACTGAACCCCCATGGGGCCTGGTACTAGAGACATCTACAGTCACTGAAGCCTCCATGGGCCTGGTACTAGAGACATCTACAGTCACTGAAGCCTCCATGGGGCCTGGTACTAGAGACATCTACAGTCACTGAACCCCCATGGGGCCTGGTACTAGAGACATCTACAGTCACTGAACCCCCATGGGGCCTGGTACTAGAGACATCTACAGTCACTGAAGACTCAATGGGCCAGTAGTAGGGATCCTACCTTCCTGGGTGGAGGTGGTGGTTTCCGTTTCTGACCAAGTCGCTCATCTTTGTTATCCTTAAAGCTTTTCTTTGAATCTGTTTCTGAGAGCACCACAAAGAAATGATGGCACTTCTCACACTTGACGAACCGGGTAGAGGCTAGACAGACAGATTGTGTCAGGACATCAGCATGTATCATTATAAACATATGTACAAATTGTATTAATGAGACTGTATCAATTTGTTTATCACAATGATATAGACAGATAGACTGTGTTCTGAATTTTTTTAAAGTTTCACCTTATTGAAAGATCGCAATCACTATCATCACACATGAATACCTTCACCATGCTCAGGGGTCTTGTAGCCATATAATTACAAATCTGCTTCTGATTTGTACCTTATTTATTTCATGTAATCATTTAGCTATTCCAGGACAACTTACAGACAAACGTCTCCACATGTGTGCATGGATCCCCACACTTGGGACATCTCAGCTGGCCAGAACCCTTCTTGTCCCCTCCTTTGTCCCCTCCCCCCGTGGTCCCCCCCGAAGTGGGGGTCTTGTCCCCATCGCCAGAGCCGGCGGCATAGCGCCCAAGACACGGGGAAGTGGACAGGCACCTGCTGGACTCATGAGATGAGGCAAGGTACCTCTGTAGTCTTTGGATGCTGATGCCTACAACAGATACATACATACATAGATACATAGATACATACATACATAGATACATAGATACATACATACATATATAGACAACCAGCAGCCAGGAGTTGCCGCAATTGACAGGGGCTAAAAAATATCATTTTATGCTTAATTTGAGAAAGTATGAGATATATTATAGTTTTATTCACATTTCACATAATTAATATTTCTCTGAAAATTATGAATAAATATTGAAGATACTACAGATACATGTTCAAACATGCAACTACCTCCATAAAACTGACCCACAAGCTAAAGCGTCTGTGATCAATATTCTCCAAACATTTGAAAAATCATGATAATAACTCAGTTAAAACATTATCGAAGCTATTGATCAGAAAACATATTAGAAGGAAACATGTCATCGCGGAAATACCTTCTTTACTTTAAATTTGCAGGGACAGATATGAAAATGAAGGTTGCGTGTTCTAATGAAATATCATGCGGACAATTCTAACAGGGTTGTGCATAAATATGTTTGAATGAAAAATTTAACATATTTGTTTTAATGGTGGACACAATCTGAGTAAAATCACATCTTTCATCCGACCAATCAGAGTGAAGGTCTGAAATGTAGTTTCTAATCATGCAACCTCATAAAAGTTTACATTCAAAGGAGGCATTCTGAACAACAGTCAAGGTCTTTAAAGCTGATTCCGTCAAAATCATTGTCTATATCTTGCTTCAATGGAATAAACATTGGAAATGGAAGAGGCTTTCCATAGCCCATGAGAAGTACTGCCATGCAATCTTGTCCATCTATTAGACACTCCAGAATTTTCATTTGTTCAGTTTTCAAAATTTGAATCGAGAACTTTGTCAAAGCTTAGTCTTGAATGGAAATTGCTATTTTGAAATTAGTGCCGTAAAGACTAAGAATGCCACTTCCTGACTGGCTAAAGTCAACTTCAGGTTAGTAATTTCACTGGCTGGTCAAAGTTCATAGAAAAAAATCACTCTGATGTGACTTGTAAAGTGATGTCCTCTGATCTTTTTGTAGCAGTAGCAGGCATTAACATCTGCTTTGAATGAGATTGGTGGTGGACACCATTTGGTCTGCAACTAGAATTACCCATATATGTTATATATCTCATGGTATGTTCAACGGATAACTATATTTCATTGGATGCTTTTGTTTTTAGCTTTACTTCCTATGGTGGATAATAGTCTGTTTACTCAAGAGTCAAGAGAAAACATTCCGACGTGTCGGACGACTTGACAATTGCAAATATATCTATGACAAACTGTTATTGACATTATGACAACTGAAATACAGTAAACTACGGTTATAACGAATTTAAAGGGACCACTAAATTTAGTTTGTAATAACCGTAGTTCGTTATAAGCACATATACAGCAAATAGACGGGGCCAAAACACAGTTTGTTATATCCGGCATTTCGTTATAAACATAGTTGACTGTATATGAAAACTATTCAAAATATGATGATGTTTAGATGATCTATAGTATAGCAACATCAATCTACATACCGGTAGTGCTATAGTATAGCAACTTCATACTGGTAGTGCAGAGGACGTGGCATGAAATGAATGCCGTTTGTTGAAACATTATAAATGTATGAGGTTTAATAAATTAAAGAAGATAAAGTGGCATGGTCAAATACATAATCTTCAGCTACTGTCATTTTTCAATGCCGTTCTTTTTATGTGTCCATTTTAGACAGTATTGAGTGCATGGAGAAGTTAGGGCACAGGATAATCTTAGCTATACACAAGTGTGGTTCGAAGGTGTGGTTTTTTTCAACTTGAAAAGATCACTGGAAACACTTGATAGAATTTGTGTTAAGACAAAAAACTAATTGATCTCAACATTAGTCTTTGTGTCAGAGCAGTTTGGCTTCTCTAGAAAACAACCCCTGTAAAACCCACACCATGCCAGGCTGGTTAAGACTAGGGCTGCAACAAATACACTATGAGGCGAATACGATTCACATCATGAATATAGGGTAGCAAATATGAATATTAATTCACGAATACATTAATAAGGCAGCAGGTGAAGTATTATTTGTTATATTCAGTGAAACATGAACAACATATATTATTTGACATGTTTTGTTAATTATTAATATATTGATATACTTCACTCAAATGCGACAATGACCAGTGACCAAAATACTTTCAAATTAACTACTGTAAGTTGTCTTTTGAAGAAATCTATGCATATAACATGTTCTTATGAATATAATTAGCTACAGGGTATGTAAATGCACATTCTTGCATATTTATAAATATTCGATTCTAGTGGCCATGAATAACGAATTCAATTCATAAAGGGATACAGTTCAATTCACCGAATACGCAAGTAAATTGCAACAGCCCTAATTAAGACATTAAAAGTTAACAAGCTAGTTTAACGTGGTTTTATGAAACAATCAATGTTTCGAAAATAAAACATGAAATTGAAAGACGAAAGATCCTTTTCATGACCCCATTTGTTTAAAGTTAAGGACTTAGCAAGTTGAGAGAGTCCCTAGATTAAATACTATAGCCCAGGACCCCAGGAACCCCAAACATTTTTAACTCTGTATTACATTTAATAGTATAAAAGGCTGTATATTATATATTTGTAATGTTTAATAATTATATACCTTCATGATATACACATGGCATTTGGGAAAGTAAAAGGATTGCAACATAGCCAAGAAATCCTTAAGTATCCTACGCTTTGACTCTAAGCAATGGAAGTGTAACAGTTATATGTACATGTATATCAAAATATAACTTTAAGTTTTGGTTTGGTTTGTTGTTTAACGCCGATCTCAGCAATATTCCAACTATATGACGGCGGTCTGTAAATATTCGAGTCTGGACCAGAAAATCCAGCGATTGATACCATGAGCATAGATCCACGCAATAGGGATACGATGACATGCATCAACCAAGTCAGCGAGCCTGACCACCCCATCCCGTTAGTCGCCTCTTACGACAAGCATAGTCGCCTTTTACGGCAAGCATGGGTTGCTGAAAACCTATCCTACCCTGGATCTTCACAAGTCAACTTTAAGTATATATATCATCAGTCAATATTGTCACTAGATCACACATTTCCTAACTGTTAGCTCTAAAACAACTGAGTACTGACCCTCGGAACAGAGCTCTAGATAAACTTTAGGTAATTTGGGTATTTCAACCAGGGGTTTGATTTCGATTGGGTATCCACAATTCTTAGAGGCTATTTCAAGTTTTTTTACCCACCTGTTTCTTGACATTTGGGTATATTAACTTGAAAACCTGAAAAACTATGTGAAATGTCTGCATCTGCTTGTGGCTCCCTCCCTGGGAAGCCATTTTGTTTGCAAAACCTAGCATTGTATAATCACCAATCAGAGACTGTTTAAGAAACAACATGTACATTTGGGACAATTGATAGCTATATCATGTATATCAGTATGTTTCTCGCAGAAGCTTTTCCTAATGTAACTGTTGGCAAGTGAATTTAGCGTTAGGCTGATACACAATATACCATCATTTTATCTACCAGTTGTAATTTTTGCAGCTGTTTCACCTAATAGTGGTAATATATACATTAATTTTATTTCAATAGAGTATTTATATGAGGTCTTTGAAAGGCATTTAGAAGTGATTCACATAAGGAAGAGAATATATGGATGTCAACTTCTGTATTATGAGGAACACAACGTTTTGGAGTATATGCTAATACTGAAGGATGATGGAGTAAGCATATACTCCAAAACGTTGTGTTCCTCATAATAAAGAAGTTGACATCCATATATTCTCTTCCTTAGAGTATTTATAGTTTTTGTTGCTTATTTGATATAATAGGATTTGATTTGTCTGCGTAGTTCATTTTATTTAATGCATATTTTCTGCAAATACACAGCTTATCTCGAGCTCTGCTGGACATTTCTAGATGCGAACTGCCCTTAGCCACAATTGTGTGATCATCAGCTTGTGACATCATCGACTGTTGCATTTCCCTCACAACTGTACCAAACAGTTTTACCGATTAAAGGTCTTCTGAAGGGAATGGGCCATGTCCCCAAATACTGACATAAAAAAAAGCAGTCGTAAAAAATAGTTTGATACTTGATTTTTCCTTGTACATGATGTATGAATGGATTTGAAACTACTAATTACCAGACACAATATTAAATATTGTACATGATTAATGAACAAACAATTATAATCTCAAAGTATTAAATAATCAGAGACCTAAAATATGATTTGGAGGCTATTTTTTATTTATGATTAAACAATTGCACTAAATACTTATAAAGAAATAGTTGTGGTGTTTTTTTTAAAGAATTGTACAAAGCAAATAGAGAATAACAGTAAAAGTTAAAAATAAGGCCATTTGCATATCTTGGTTGTAAATGATGCAGACGATGTTATCAGGTAGATTTGTAATTATTTTACGCAAATCAACCACATGTGACATTAACAACACATACTTGAGTAATCTCATGTGAAATGACATCACGAACGACGGATGCTTTATCTCGAAAACCTCCTACAGATATATACCATACTCAGTATGGAAACACAATATTCTATTCCCTCTTGTAGAACTCATCCTATAATTCATTCAAACTACAAAAAAACAACAAAGAGAACATATCATGTTATTTGATCTAAAGTCAGTAGCAAATGAAAACAATTATAAAACTCCTAAGCCCAAAACACTGGGAAACATGTCCTTGAAAGGAATTCTTACCAGATGTCTTGGCTCTCACACGTCCAAGTGCAATTCTTCCACATCTAGCTGCATTTGACATTTTCGGTTGTAGAAAGTCAAGGAGATGAATGTCATGAAACACAAATTCCACTGGCCCGACGTCAAGTCATTCACTGTCTACCCTGATGTGAATCTAAGAATAGATATCAAACAAGGTCCGGATTTTACGTGACAGTCTAGTAAATGATATCAATTATTACTCATTATTTTCCATCAAGTGGACTAAGACAGTCTACTAAAAGGAATATGAAGACTTACAGTGTTCACACTACTATTCAATGGAACAACAGGCCCTTGAATGACATGAAAAAGTTACAGGAACAATTTGTATGCTATCAACTGACCACAATCACGTATTCTTGTTGTGATCCCGTCTTGCGCATGGCAGTGTTTGAAGGTCAAGGTTGTAAACGACACTTAGGGGGAGGGATAATTGCAAGTTTTTGTGTATTTGTGTTCTTTAATCATCTATTTTATAAACCTACTTTTTTCTCACTTTAAGAAATATGGTTGGTAAAGTTCATGTGATTTATTGTTTTAGCTCATGTACACAATTCCGTATATATGCTAGGCCAAGTTACGAACATGGTGTGCTAAACAGAAAAGGAAGGCTCCCGTCAAGATGGCTGCGTTCATGTAGACGATGCTTTTATGTTGTGTAACATTACAATCTACTTTAGGACACGTTATTAGATAACTATAAGATGGCAGGTCGGGGGAGAGGAAGGGGCAGGGGGATGTCCTTTAATATCGAAGCACTGGGGTTTGGACGAGGCGAAACACTTCCCGGAGCAGTACAACAACCACCACCACTGTTTCCAGTGAGTTTCGTCAGATTCGTCTCTATATAGCTAGCATTCACTTGAATAAAAGGGTGCTAAGTCACCTGCCAAATTGATTTGGTCAAAATGCCCTTGGCAGGGCCGGGCGCAACTTATTGATTTCTGTTCCCCTTTCCGATCAAGTACCACTAAACGATATCCGTGAAGATCCGGGGTAGAATAGGTCTTCGGCAACCCATGCTTGCCGTAAAAGGCGAATATGCTTGCCGTAAGAGGCGACTAACGGGATCATGTAGTCAGGCTCGCTGACTTGGTTGATCCATGTCATCGTATCCCAATTGCGTGGATCGATGTCCAGGATATTAATCACTGGACTGTCTGGTCCAAACTTGATTATTTACAGATCGCTGTCATATAGCTGGAATATTGCTGAGTGTGGCGTTAAACAACAAACAAACAAACCACTTTATGATCACACGTTACAGGCCCTCATATCTAATTGAATAAAAAGCGTTGAATGGGTTTAAAGTAAAGGTGTATTTGTAGCATAGCTTTCGCATTTGAACCAAATGCATTTACTATGTGAACGAAAAGAAACTATCGGATTTGACAGCGGTTGGTTGTGGAATAGGTGCACAGCTGCCATGGTAAACTAAGTCAAATCTAGCTGGATACCTTCGGGTGTATCTACTGATCGCAGTTAATTGACACCTTTTCTGGAAAAAGAGTGTTCAAGAAATGGTGGCGATAAAGAAAGCTTTTCTTTTGACTCCCATCAAAATACATAGATAATGCATTCAAAGTCCTTTTTGCTGAAAAGGAATAATCTGTATCAAAGGGGAATTATATTTTTTATTCAATGCACATTAACTTCTTATCCATAATTACATTCCCTGGAAACAAGTGTTAATTAAAGCACTTCCCTGTTTCTCTTCTCCGCTACTGTCAGCCATGTTTCATGTGCTAAGACGACAGTAAATGTTGTTGTAGTTCAGCAAAATGCAGAATTTAACGGATATTACCAAATGTGTCATTTGCCGATGCTTTCAGTACCAATAGCCGCTGTATGGTGATTCCAGTGTGAACCACTGTTACGACAATAGTTACTGCATTTATATCCTTCGCACTTTGTTACTATACACATGATATTGCTTACATTAGGTTTGATAATGCTTCTTTATATTCAAATAGATAGAGGGCTTGCGTTAGGGTTAGTGGCAAAACAATGCAGTTTACTGGATGCATCGCTGATTGGCTTATGTATCGCTTATTGGCTCAGGCTGACAGCTGTGGCTCTCGCTTCACATATGCGGGTGCTTCTTTGATCCTTAGGGTTATTTGTGTTGGGTTAGGGTAGGTTACCCCAAACTCTTATCCTTATCCTTTGGATCCCCTTTCAGATCATGCATCCCTTTACGATCATTAGGGTTAGGTACCCCTTCCGATCAAACACCTCTTCATAGCAGTAGGCACCTCTTGCTAGTCAAACACCCCTTCCTGATCTTTTAGGTTAGACACGCCTTTACAATCCTTGGGGTAAGTTGTGATGTAGGGTATGGGTTAGCTATCTCTTTTGACAAATTAATCCAGGAAACTCCATACAATTTGTATCAAGTGTCGAGTTTTGCGGACAAAATGGCTACTGTGCATAAAGGTAAAAAATCAGGTGTTGATGACTTGGCAAACATGCACTAATTATTTGTGATAGCGCCCATGGTCCCGTTACCAGTAAATTAAATTACCAGTTTTGTTTTAGGTGTGCAAACATTTTAGAAATCATTGTCATTTGTTCAGTAGTGTTCTCCAAATATGTTTTTATCTTTAAACTCAGATCAAAGTCCTAGATGCACCAACTCATCTAATAATGATAAGGCATTGTGACGACACATATTACACAGAGATATATCGGTAAATGAACTGAGAAGAGTCCATATCACCAGCTGTGTATCCAGGGCAAATTCTATATTAACAAGACAAAAAACGTTCTCACATTTTCAACTGTCCATCAACTCAACGATTTCAAGAAATCCAAAAAAGTTTGGGGCCTTCTAATAATTTTGGACTCAGTGTGTACTTATCTCTTTAATGTGACACAAACATTGGGATCTTTGTTTTTCTAAATGTGAAAAAAGAAAGAAGTGGATTATGGCTTGTCCCCCCCCAAAGTGTGTTTTTCTAGTTAAGAACGCGCCTTTGTTTGCGGTATTAATTATGGAATGCACGAAGACACGCAATAACTGCTCCCTTGTATCTGTACCTTTCTTTGACAAACTGTGCTTACAAGTGTCGATGTAATTACCATTTCTTAATTCAACAAGAAATATATTGTCTTTAGTTTCCGCAAGTTCTATAATTTGAGGATGATGACAAGTAGAGAGACTATTTATGACATGAAAACAATGTTGTTATTTTTATCAATATACCCCCAATACAACACAAGTGGTAATTGACTGTCAATCTCAATTTACTTGTTTTGCATGTGAATGTAGTGTTCTGAGTGTATCTGAGTCTTACACATGCTTGTATCGGAACCATCACCATGGGTTGTCATTATTCAATACGTTTGTGCATTTAGGTGCACTTTGGGCTGTCATGCTCTAGGCTTAAGGCAGAAAACAGTTTTGCAAAATGCTACTTAATCAGCAACGATTATAATGTCGACAGTGATTGCAGACCTACATTTAACAGACATTTGTCCAATCACTTTCAGCATTGGTCTGCACTGCCAGAAAAGACAATGAGCGATTGCTAAATTAATAATCTCATTAGTTTTCATAATTATTTTGACTATTTAAAACATATTCTTATGTTTATGTTTCTGTATATACATATATTCATACACACATACATCTGATTTTATTAATTTTCATTGCTAACATCAATGCACACAGAACTATTTGATGTTCATTTAGATAATTTAGACTTTTCTATACATTCACACTTATTCTTACACATATACTGAACCACAAAAGAAATGTCACCATGGATAGATATATGAGAAACCTTATTTGTCCAAACACTGTAAACATACTTTGAGACATATTAAAAAGATGAAACTTGGCAAAACTGATCATCAAGGTTGAAATTGAAGTGTCAAATGTTTTTAAAGTGAAACACAACACTAGTCTCTGAGAAAATGGCATCACAAGTCAGTATCTCGTGTGTCTGCCATTTGCATTGATGACTGCCGTGCAAAGTCAATACATGGAATGGATGAGGCGGTTGATGAAGGCCATAGACACTTGAGCCCACACTCTGAGGAATGCCTGACACAGTTCAGCTGCAGTTGTCGGCCTTGGTCGGACATCAGTCAGCCATCTTTGAATCTCGTCCCACAGGTGCTCAATGGGATTTAAATCAGGACTGAGGGCAGGCCACTGCATGGTTCTGATGCCATTCTGCTGGAGGAAGTCTCTTGTTGCTCTCGCAGTGTGGGCACGGGCGTTATCATGCTGAAACTCGTGGTTGCGGCGGCGAGCCAAATGAGGTATGGCATGTGGTCTCAAGACTTGATCAATGTACCAAGCTGCTGTGACACCATTGCCTCTCCCTGGAACGATGTTCTGGAAGACCACATGGCCGACCCTCTGTGTAAGACCAATTCCACCCCACACCATGATGCTCGGATCACCCCACAAGTCTTTCTCAACAACACAAGCATCCGAATGACGTTCCCCACGGCGTCGCCAGACTCTCTCTGTGCCATCTGCTGTTGAGATACAGTAACGGCTATTGTCTGAGAAGAGGACTCTTCTGCACTGCTGGTGGCACCAATGCTGGTGCTGTGTTGCCCACTGAAGACGGTCCCGGAGATGACGTGGTGTCAGAATGGGTCCACGGTGTGGCCTGTGACAGTGGAGGTGTCTGCTCATCAATCATTGACGCACAGTGTCCGCACTAATGTGTCGCTGGTGTGTCCCCATGGTCTGTCGAGCAGTTTCCGCAGCAGTAACAAAGCGATCTTGAAGATGCTGTCACACAATCTGACGATCCTGACGTCAGGTGGTGACCCTTGGTCTTCCACTATGTGGTCGGTGGTCTGGTATAGTTGCTGGAGCCTGTATATGGTCCTTACGTGGACTTGAAATGCATTGGCTACTTGTCGGGCAGTTTGTCCAACTTGCAATCGTCCAAGGGCTTGGTGTCGCTGATTTCTTGTCAATCTTGGCATGTGGTAGCAATTCAATAACGAATGAATGTTATCCGATCTGGGTGGATTTTTGTAGGGCAAGAAATAGGGGAATGCATGTGCATCGGGTTACCATGGCCGTTGCCGTGATGCGTTTGGGCGATTGGTTTTATTGTCATCTGCTTTGTTTTTTTATCATCAAATTTCATTTTTCCGGACCAGGTAATGTTAAATTTTAGAAACTTTGACAATAGTTACCCAGATATTTAAATGACAACTTTTCATGCAATGTTACTGGGGGTGATGTTTCTTTTGCGGTTCAGTATACATGTATAGAGAGTAGATTGTTCATGTGTTCTTGTCTCACAGAAATGTATTCCTAACATTGACCAGCGCCCTCAGCTGGATCATGCAGTCTGTGAACTCTCCCAGTCCTTGCCATCTTAGGTTATTCCATATCTACCTGCATTCTGTCAAAATTGTGTCAATATCTAATAATAATAAGTAATATGGCAAGTGCACCTAGATGTGCTGAAACAGACACAGAATCTTACCGATTCAGTAAAAACGTTCCTTATTGATGAGTCTTTTTTTAATAATGATAATTTCGATAATTAATCCTGAAGGGACTTCTCTTACTGTTGGAGTGTCTTCATAAGACACATTTGTTGGGATATGTAATCTGGTTAACCCTCTATGGGTATTCAGGATTAGAATACACCAACAAAGAATTCTTTAAACTATTTGATGAGTTATTTGTTGTCATTATTTAAAAAAAGAAGATGAAATTTTCCTGCCCCTGAAATAAATCTATACAAGAAATAAACACTTTGTTAGGGATGAACTTGTGTAAACAAAGTTATGTCCACAGTGTATGTTTCAGACTCATCTAGGTCAGGCTGACCCAGGATGTGGGCTGTCATTTACAGCTGTAACATACTATCGGTCAGTTAGGGGTCAAGACTGTGAGTCAGGTAGCCTTCATGCACCACTTAGCAAACATTCTTAAGACTTTATGTCAAGACGAGATCCAGTGTCGGTCAACTTTTGATAAATTATCTTGTACAGAATGATTTGTGACAAAATGCTCATAGAGAAGTCACTGATCAAGTTGTACAAGTAAATGTTCATGAAACAGCTGAGAAAAGGTTTGGAATGAAGAGTTGTTGCCCTGAAACACGGCTGTATTAGGGGTGGGGGTGAGGGAAGGGTGAAGGGATGGGATCTTGTGTCGACATTAGATATTATTTGAGCTACAGCTACAAAGGCAGATATTTTATTTTTTTTAAACTGTGAGCTTGAATTTTTAAATAGAAATTTCTGTTTTTTTCAACAGTCTTAAGCATCATTATTTTTTTCAAGAATTTGGGGGGCCAATTATCTTTTTTTTTATAAATTCCCAGCTGAGCTGGTCTAGATAACTCTCTTAATGTGTCACTCTGTTAGACTGTTGATGTGCAGGTAATATTGGTGTATAGATAACCTTTCTGCAAGTAAAATAGACTACACTACCGGGTACTTACTTTATGCTGTCAGCTTCTGAATGCAGATGGCAATGGTAAACGTCTCGCAACTGCTGTTGCTGATGTAGATGGTCAGCTGAGAGGTCAGTGTAATGGTGTGAGACCTGGACGCCCCTCTTTTCATGTACTCATTGTTGACCTGATCAGTGAAGCCTGTCTCACATACAGCCGATCACTTTGTAGGTATTAAATGTCTAGATACAGGCCGGAACATGGTAGAAACTGTATTTGTATGAGTTTGGAGGAGTTTGTATGACAACTAATTACATATGTGATGTATATTTCAGGATTTCAAGCATAATGGGTCGGTCTGGTTAAAATAAGTATCTATTTATTTTTCCTGTGTTTTTTTAGTTTAATGTGTGCACAGTGTTTGTACAAGCTATGTTTCTACCTCATGTACATTACACTGAATAGGAGCGCAATATGTGGGATTACAATACTTACACATTATTCAGTAATTCATTCATCATTTCACTGAAGCAAATCCTACTGTTTGTGATGTGTTCAAAATATTCTAATTTTATGATGATAAATGTGGTCACAGTTAAGTTGAATATCATAAATTACCAATAATTGTGTGTTGCTCAACTTGTTTTATTATCTGTTGCATACTGTTACCATGGTTACCCTGTATTGATGTTCTATTGATAATTATCTCTTTATTTAGCTCTGATGTTTCCAATGCTTACTTCTGACTAAAGTTGAAGGATATTTAACAACATAACAGCTGCAGATAATAAGCATTAGTTCACACTGTAAAATGTCAGGAGAATTTTGTGTATACAGTAAAGGTACATGTTTTGGCCTTAAACTCCTCGCTGCTGATGTGTGTTTGCAGAAATAGTAGAACACAGTCCCATCTCTGTCGGGTTATGTAAGCTACGTGTAGCTGGATAGTTGTGTAATGCAGGATTCCCTCCATGGACCATACAGCATCAGTGATGAAGCTCTTGTTGAAGTCATGAATGGTATACAAAGACCCATTGTTGTCACTGTACGGAGTTTGTTGTATCTGCACATTAGGGCATGGCACCTCCATGTTCTGTTAGCAACTGTTGAACTCCAAACAGCACCTACCACAAAAAAATCCTCACTGCCGTTTGTCTGGCTCATGCTGCAGTGAATGTAACCCGGCTTAGTTTACACTTCATGTTTATGAATCAGTCGGAGAGAAATACATTCAAAACACTGCTGCACTAGTGACCAGCTGTTGTTTTTCGCAGAGTCATGAATGAGTCATGCATATTCATATACTGTTGTCTGTCACATACCAGTGGCTGTCAAGAAATGGGCATCTGGAATTCCTCACAACATGTTGCTATGAGAATGCAGGAATAGGATGGGCTGATGTTATTCATTCTCTTTATGGAATGGTGTTTTAAAGGTTTGCCATAGGCGACAATTCTGGTAGATGCATTCTAGGCAGATCTGTTCCATTCAACTACTGGCCTGGTCTAATATTAGTCTCATTAAAATCATGTCTTAGTTCTCGCTGCTAAACAAAGACCTGAGGACATCCCATTATGGTCAAGTCCATGTTGCCGAACCTAGTTTCTACCCTTGCCACACCAAGGCTCTTTTCTTGGCTTGACCCTGATGCCACCTCGCGTAGATCACGAGTTGTGCCCCTTGTAATGAAATCCAATCAGATGGCAGTTGTTATCTTGTATAGCTTCACATAGATGGCGACTGCCATAGGCGACGACCAAGTCGATCAGACAACGAAAACATTCACAATTTCATCCCTGCCACAAAAACATAGGCAATTATTGGGGGGGTTTAAATGATGAAAATGACATATTCCAGCGGTAAATCACTTTCATACGAAGATGTGCCAGTTGTGGATGTTGATTTTGTGAGACGTTTTCTAATTGGACTGTCGATATGTGCGATACTCCAATCACAAGAAACCCGGCTTGATGTGGCAAGGATGGAAACAAGACTTTGACGAAAAGGCTAGTGGATGCTGTTGCCTCGGGAAGATGGGTGACGTCAGAATGATCTTTGATTCGACCAGTCAGAGGGTCGCTTGCCAGATCTGGAAAGTGACAATCGAACAATATAGTCATGCAACCTTGAAAAGGCTAACACGGGGTATTCCAAATGACAGTTACATTATGGGCTGTACGACTGATTCCGTCAAAATCATAGTCTGTTTCTCACTTCAGTGGGATTAACATGATACTGGAAGAGACTTCCATAGCCCGTAGGAAGTACTGACATACAATCTAGGTCATCCATTAGACATTCCAGAAAGTTCTTTTGTTCAGTTTTCAAATTTTGAATTGAGAACTTTGTCAAAATAATTTTCAAAGTGAAGTTTGGAATGGAAGTCGCTAGTTCGAAATAAGTGCTTGAGAAAGCTGCTTTCTGTTTGGCAAATGTTGACTTCTTGTTAGTAATTTCATTGGTCGGTAAAAGTTCGTGAAAGGCTGTTCTGACAAGACCTGCAATGGAATGTCCTAAGATCTTTCTTCAGTGGTCATGAGAACTAAGATCTCATTTTAAAGAAATTGGGTCTAATATCATTATTTTGCTCTCAAACAAAGTGAAAGTGAAATAAAAATAAAGTTTTCTTATTTTCAAATTCATTTCTGAATTTTCTGATTTTAATCAAATTCCCACCAAAAGGAAGATAACTCTCCTGAACTTTCAAGTGTTTGCTGCTCAAGACTTCACTTTCCCTAGTGCAATGGAGCCTAATGGTAGGACTGTTGGCTCCCCACATAGGCCTGTGTCTTGTGTCCTCTGCTCTGATATGGATGGAGCATCCCATAGAGCATCCAGGGTATATGTGAGGACAACCCTACCCTGTGTCTTGTGGATATCGAGTTGTCTGTTCTGACTTATTTCACATCAGTGTACCTGATAACACAGATACATGCTTGAGCTGTCAGCCTTTGGTTTGTCTTGAGTGGCCCAGTTGTTTTATAAATCTGCACAAAGGACAAGCTGGTCAGGTGCTATTGGCCCATAGGATCTGCATAATTTCAGAAATGAATAACGATTTTAGCAAATAGTTATGGAAGGTATCAGATATATTCATATGAAGGAGAATTCAACTCTGTTCATTTTAACACTTGCATATTTCAGGCTTGGGGCACAGACTTGCCCATGGTTAGATTTCTATGAAGATCATCCCTTTCACCTATGTACTTGATCATGTCAGAAGTCAAGAACTTGCAACGACAATAGACCTGGTTGTCAACATTTTGTCTGATAAGCGTCATACCAATATTCCAAGGTTTTCTGAAACTTTAAAGTTTTACATTTTGTGTTGGAAAAAATGGGCTCTTTTCCTTTTTCATCCTTTGGACATTACTTGCCAGAGAACAAGTGAACTGTTCTGGACTTCAGCCCCCAAGGCAATGACCTCTGACCTAATCTTTGACATAACATTTGACCATGCTGACGTTGGCCTTATGTAGCATGATTATTAGTCCAAGGGCTTATGGCAGTAGATCACAAAGAAAATTACTGATGCATTGTCATGTGTTTGTTCAGTCTGTGAACTAGAAGATGTTACAACACTAGATATATCTACTCTACACACAAATTACTGATGCGTTGTCATGTGTTTGTTCAGTCTGTGAACTAGAAGATCTTACAACACTAGATATATCTACTCTACACACCAATTACTGATGTGTTGTCATGGTTTCAGCCAGTCAATTACAAGGCGGTTCCCCTGGCAACAGGAGAGGACTATGACTACATGCAGGCGCTGAAGCAAGAGTTCCGCGGTGCCAGCCGCAAGTCACCATTCTTCCTCGACTTGATGGAGAAGAGGAAGGACATAGAGAGGTACTCGGACAAATACCAACTTGGGCAGCAGGACAACTGCTCGGGGTGGACACCAGGTGAGATGTGAGGGGACCACCCACTGCTTTGTACTTTACCTTACAGGAGCTATAGTGTCTAGTCAACCGCCATGATAATGTAACTGTGAGTTTTCCTTTTGCATAAGACCGCCTCCGTGGCCCGGAGAGTGGAAGGTTTAGGGGTCAATCCACAGCCTTGTCATACCAAAAGATGTTTAAAGATGGTACTTGCTGTTACCCTGTCTGGCACTTGGCATTAAGGGGCTGAAACAAGGACTGGTCGGCTTGGAGTTAGTATACTGTGTCTGAGTGGGGTATTCATATTAAACTGCGGCATGGTATCTCAGTGAGCTAGCACTATAAATAATAATCTTGGACGTGACGTTAAACCTAATTTCACCTCACCTCACCTCACCTCCTCTGTTGCATAAAGGGAGATAAGCTAAGTCAACCTGTTGGTGGAGTGATACTGTACCGGTATGCATCGATGAACAATTGATGACAACAGTGAACTGATAGGATGCCATGTAAGTAGATGTTGCTCTGCGGAAGGATTATCCTCCCCTGACTGTAATGTGAAATCCAGAGCCAACATAGATGAGAACGTAGACTGAAGATGTAACATGATAAAAAACAGAATAGCATGAAGGATACAAGGTGAGAACCTGGACCGGGAGATGACCTAGGACAGGAGAGAGCCGGTGTGTTAATTAGCTTCTGTACATACTGTACTAGATGTTGGCCTGTGTTTGTGTGGGAGATTCAACAGACGACGTAGTGATAACTGATAGTTATATCACAGTAGCCCCAGAAGATTGTCAGTGCACATACAGGGGTTATCTAGACCTGTTCAGAGGCAGATATTTGCCCCCAAACCTGCAACCCCCCAAATGTCAGTAAATACTCTCCACTGGGAATTAAAAACTTCCCAACTTTTGTTAATATAAACAAATGATAGACTTTGATGAGAGACTTGTATGTCACTGGCAACAGGACTAATAAGGAGGGTAAAGCATTAATGTTTAGTTGTACATTATTGGACTGAATGCAAATGTTGAAATGCCTTATTACTAAATCCCAAAACAGTCTTGGCCAAAAAAAGAATACAGTCCTCAGTAACCTTATTTAACCTTTGTGAATGTGACCCATATTCCTATATTCCTTCCTTTATGTATGAAAGCAGCATAATGTCGTATTCTTTCAGTTATTATGTATATCTGGAATGTCTCCTCTCTTGACATCTGCGTATACTTGGCACCTAGAACCGAAGTTATTATGTACGTAACGGTTATTACATAATGTCGATGAGAACTAGAACTGAAGTTATTATGTACGTAACGGTTATTACATAATGTCGATGAGAACTAGAACTGAAGTTATTATGTACGTAGCGGTTATTACATAATGTCGATGAGAACTAGAACTGAAGTTATTATGTACGTAACGGTTATTACATAATGTCGATGAGAACTAGAACTGAAGTTATTATGTACGTAGCGGTTATTACATAATGTCGATGAGAACTAGAACTGAAGTTATTATGTACGTAACGGTTATTACATAATGTCGATGAGAACTAGAACTGAAGTTATTATGTACGTAGCGGTTATTACATAATGTCGATGAGAACTAGAACTGAAGTTATTATGTACGTAACGGTTATTACATAATGTCGATGAGAACTAGAACTGAAGTTATTATGTACGTAACGGTTATTACATTATGTCGATGATAACTAGAACTGAAGTTATTATGTACGTAACGGTTATTACATAATGTCAATGATAACTAGAACTGAAGTTATTATGTACGTAACGGTTATTACATAATGTCGATGAGAACTAGAACTGAAGTTATTATGTACGTAACGGTTATTACATAATGTCGATGAGAACTAGAACTGAAGTTATTATGTACGTAACGGTTATTACATAATGTCAATGAGAACTAGAACCGAAGTTATTATGTACGTAACGGTTATTACATAATGTCAATGAGAACTAGAACCGAAGTTATTATGTACGTAACGGTTATTACATAATGTCGATGAGAACTAGAACCGAAGTTATTATGTACGTAACGGTTATAACATAATGTCAATGAGAACTACAACTGACAGTTATTAAATGATGACAGTGGGAACTAGAACTGATGGTTATTAAATAACCGGGTTGGTCAACTAGAACTGACAGTTATTAAATGACAAAAGTGGGGAACTAGAACCGACAGTTATTACATGACGACAGTGGGAACTAGAACTTATGGTTAATAAATGACGACAGTGGGAACTAGAACTAATGGTTAATAAATGACGACAGTGGGAACTAGAACTGACGGTTATTAAATGACAAAGGTGGAGAACTACCGGTAGTGGTTGTATTATTTCTGTACATGTTTGACTCCCCACATGGGTAAGCTGTATGAGGACTTTTCTTGTGTCCCTTGCTATGATATATGGTAAATATTGCTGATAGGGATGTAAAGCTGTACCTACTCACACACTCACTCACTGTTTGGGAACAGACTGGCGCAGGTTGCCAGGGGAACTGAAGATTAAGACCAAGAGACCTCATTCTGCCAGAAGCAATGCTAAGCCCAACTTGAAGAAGGCAAAACTGAAGAGTGAAGTGGACATTGACAAGACATTGGAGGTACGGTCTGTTATGTCTACACAGAAGGGGTTTCATGATAAATGCTCCTTGTCTTCATAGACTGCTAGGAAAAACAGGTTGTTAACATGGGAAGACTGTGACAAGCTAACAGTTGGTCAAACACATCTCTAGAACCCCATGATTGTACTAGGAGAGGTTGAAAAGGGGATGAGGGGGCCACAATGACAGCCATGTATTGGGAGTACTACCAACTCTTAGCTGTGACCTGGGCTCAACCATCACAAGTCACTAAATATAAAAGTCCATGATGTGGTAACATTGGCCTTGACATTGCGAGGTGTTAATAATGACATGATGTAAGATGATCAGGGGATTATCGTTACACTATCTCGATTTCAGAAACTGGAAAAAATCCCGGATGCAGAAGAGGGGAACAAAGAAGAGAATGAGAGACAGAAAGAAGAAGACAGAGAGGAGGAAGAGGCCGAGGAGCTGTATGAGGAGGAGGAGCTGGAGGAGGTGTGTAGGGATGGGGGGTGACGGGGACAGTCTTGTCAGTGCTTGAAGGGGTGGATTGGGAGGGTGGTAGGGGTGCAGTCTGTCAGCCATGGAAGGGGTGGGATGGGGTGGCAGTCTATCAGTGCTGGAAGGGGTGGATGGGGAGGGTGGGGGGTAGGGGTGCAGTTTGTGAATTTTTTTGCAGTTTTAACATATACAATGTTCTTCAGGTCTTCTGATACATACAGTCAAAACTCAAAAAAAGAACAGTGGGTAGTATGCCCCTTGTCATCTGCAGGAACACATAATCCACAATTCCTTGTTGGTTTCCTTACTCTGTGTGAAATCTGAGTGACATCTGTGTGACATCTGTGTGACATCTGTGTGACACCTGTGTGACACCTGTGTGACACCTGGCTCCTGGTGCCTTGTAGACAAGAGGTTGTTTCAGAATCCTAATGCAATGTTGATCATTAAAGTTGAGCATTATATACACATGTGGAAAGATGCTGTGGGTATTTTACATCATGGAATCTGAGGCTGGTGTTATCTAGACATGTAAAGTTCATTACAAAATGATGGAAGCGATTGAAAAAAATTGAAGTCAAGGTCGGTGCAGTTTAGTGGCAGATTGCTCTGATTCTGCACATGAAGCTTAACAGAGTTATCTCCCTTGGTAAGTTCCAGCTCAAAGCTCCGCTCCTGTTTGTGGAGGTCCCTATACTGTCGCATCCACCAGTTAAAACTCCCCACTGATAGGTGACCATGCTTTGAGGTGAACTTGCAACCGACTGACTGTTAAGTTTACAAACAAGTGACTACTGTCGTGACGCCGAATACTCTTACCCGTGCTAAAATATTTTCTTTGTTTGTCAAGTTGAATTTCTGTATCATTAGAACTCTCATGTAATTGGTATGGTAAGAATGTAAGGGAGAAGTTGGTTGATTTTCCGTTCGTCTGCAATCTCGAACCAAACCGAGCAAACAAACAAAAAGGATAATTTATCTGGGAAATATGATCAGTCGTAAACCTTTTAAAAAATAACTGTATTGGCATTCCAAAAGACATGACCCCAAAAATAAACGTTACTATATTTGGGGTTAGAGGGCAAATTTGAAGATTCTTGTAATGGCCGTGCCCACACTGGAGGCTGCGATGTTACCGAGAGTGTAACGAAGGTGTTGCACACTGGGAGGGAGCTTGGTTCCAGCTCATCAGATTTGTACTTCCTCTTCTGCTTCAGCGATCATATTAACCATGTGATTCATAAGACTTACTTATTTCAGGAAACTGACTACAACCTGAACTACTTTGACAATGGTGAAGGCTACGGTGATGACGATGATGATGTGGACGAAGGACCCATTTATTGAGATGCAGGATAAATCTGTATGTGGAAGTGTTATGGCGCTGTGGTGACAAGTGCTGTGGTGACAAGTGCTGTGGTGACAAGCGCTGTGGTGACAAGAGCTGTGGTGACAAGTGCTGTAGTGAAAAGCGCTGTGGTGACAAGTGCTATGGTGACAAGTGGTGACAAGCGCTGTGGTGACAAGTGCTATGGTGACAAGCGCTGTGGTGACAAGTGCTGTGGTGACAAGCGCTGTGGTGACAAGTGCTATGGTGACAAGTGGTGACAAGCGCTGTGGTGACAAGTGCTGTGGTGACAAGTGCTGTGGTGACAAGCGCTGTGGTGACAAGTGCTATGGTGACAAGTACTATGGTGACAAGCGCTGTGGTGACAAGCGCTGTGGTGACAAGCGCAGTCCTAACAAGGCTGATGTTACTGTATCTGTAACCTGAATGACATAAGGGCTTCTTTGTGGAAAAAAGGATTTGACCGGACATTACTCAGCATAGAATGTGAAAAAGTGTGATTGATTTTGAGATGTGGTAAAGGATAACAGTTTCATACAAGAGAGGTGTGTCAGTGTGTGACTGGTAATTCACTCTGAGTAACCGATGGGCTTGCCGACGCAGAACACGTCTCCTTTACCCGGTGCTTGGTGTGTGACCGGGATGAGTGTGTGTCATCATACCCAACTATCAGGAATTGTTGTTCATGTGATGAGCTACTTTTGTGTCTGGGACAGACAGACAGGTCATTATCATAAAACATCATATTACTGACTATGAGCAACATTTAGTCACCAATTTCATTAAATCATCTGACAGTTCTGTATCACAAAAATAAAGTTGAACAGCCAGTTCCAAATGTAAACAATAATGTCCATGCCATTATTTTATGGATATTGTATACATCCTGCTATGACATCTACACCTGACATTTAGTTCCATTGAAGCTGGATCATTTCAAGCATCTGATTGGCTCAAGAACCCATGGATCCTTTAGTTAGATTGGATAGTCAAAGTTTGCTCACCTGAACACTTCACACAACTGTTGATGGAAGGCCAGCATTAGAAACTAACAGTTTTACTAACAGTTTTCGTCCACTAGTCCTTATAATGATAACATATAGCAAAACCCTTAAAAATGGCAATTTTCTACTGGTCCTTATGATACCTTTACCATTGGGCAGTTTGGCAAGGACTATAGGACTAGTGACAATTTCTAACCCTGAAGGGTTGTCCGTTCTTCACACAGATAGCATCGTATTGGAGTACACTATCTGACTTTGATGGGATTGATTCAGTCACGGGTTCATGGGATCAATTTGTCAGCCTTTGTTATTGATGTTTGCAAGTTGTTTTCAACCCCATCAGGATGTGGATTTATTTGAACTCAGACTCGACATCACGTACCAGATTTGATTGAGCTCTGACACCAGCTGTGTATTGCATGCATTGATTGCCACTGAATGTTACATTCATGTATGTGAATCGCTGCTATGTTGAAAACTGCTGACAAGCACTTTGGAGTGACTAGCAATGTGAAACATTATACTGCGTTCATCCTGTCTGTAACCCTGTGTGTGAGACACTTCGACCGTTCTGCAGGCAGAATGCAATCAATATGAAACATTTTCACTTTTTCCTGTGTTGTTATTTTTAATTAAAATCTTGATGAGTATGTCACGATTCACATTGTTGCTAACCAATCAAACATGGATATTTATTGAGTAAATGTTATGTGTGTAAACACCTACAATATCATGAATGTTTTATACATACCAGCTGGCCCAGCTAGCCTAGATGTTGTCTAGAATGAGTTCCTGTACATGGAGATTACTACAGCAGCGAGAAGCTAGCATGCATCATTTTTGGTCACAACACCTGTTGCTCAAACTATGCTTTACTGTTTGTTCTTTAATGCTGTACTCAGCACTATTCCAGCTATATAACGGCTGTCTGTAAATAATCAAGTCTGGACCAGACTATCCAGTGATTGATATCATGAGCATCGATCTACGCAATTGTGGATACCATGGCCCGACCATGTGGTCCCATTAGTTATCTCTTACAACAAGCATGGGCAGCTGGAGACCAATGATGACCCCGATCATCATGGGGCTGTTATTACTCTTTCCATCCTACTCATCAAGGGATCGATTCAGGGACTTGCTGCATCCATTTCCTACCCAGATACATCTCCATACAAGATTCAGAGGCCAATTTTCACAGCTTCATATCTGGGACTAAAGTCAAGCAGTCAACCTTAAGTCAAAATATTACAACTAAAAAAATGAAAATGAAATCAAGTTTTTCAAACCCAGTCTGGCGTTACTGGGTTGGGAAACAACTCGAGAATTTTACATCTACCCTTGCATAGAAAAATTAAAATGCTTTGACAGTAATAACAGCACATTACAAAACAAATTCTCCTTCTGGTTGATCTTGAATTAAAGTGATTCTTAAGCATGTTAAGGAAGTTTTGTAGCAAATTGGACATTGTCTGACAAATCCATAATGTTTCTGTCTAGGACAGTAACACCTGTCACTTGCATGACACAAAAAACAATACACAACAAAGCAGTCCATTGGCAACCTGATTAATTTATTCATTATTTCTTGATTATTTACAAACTGTTTTCCATTACACATAACATTTCATCCATTAGTTTTCGATGTAAGCATTGAGTAAAGTATTGAATATGTCAACTCCTATGTACACTTTGTAAATAATACAGTTGTGACAAGTGAAAGATTTGTAATGTATGTACAGTTACACAAGCAGCATGAATATTTAAACAGTACACCACATCCCCCTGCTGCATCATGTGCGACTGTATCACAAGATCTATAGACAAGGACATTTAACCATCACCTGAATGTGATGAGGCTGTTTGCAACCATGGACCAGCTCATGCAAGAGGTCGACATATTAGCTACACAGGATCATTGAGAAGACAAACAGAAAAGTGTCAAAACAAAAGTAATATTACCTTTATATAACTAAGATACTGTTAGATGTAACTGTATGACAGCTTGTCAGCTTAATGTGTAAAACTTAAACCAACAATGTGTACCACTTTGATGGAACCATGAGCTCGAGTTTGGCTCTGACAGACCAACTATCATAACTGGGTCCAAACTTGGACTTCAACCTTTGACAACTAGGGGGGACAACTCAGCATGGAGCAGTGTATCACTGGGTAGCCTTGTAACAATAGGAACGTTGGCATTGATAGGCTTTTTTTTACAAATATGGTGAAAAATTAAGTCGTTACTTTTAATTTAGGAGATAATTTAGCTTTGCATACAAGGCAATATGATGGGTTTTATTAAATGGTTTGGTTTTCAGGGAAATAATAGTCACCTTTGTAAAACCAAAAGATCAGGGCTATCCTGGTACATGATTATATGAACTGGGATATTTCAGTTCAAATATGAGAATGTTGCTGACATTTGTGGGTGATCCGGAGACATATGGGCCTTGACGGAAACCCAGATAAATTCCTATGAACAACAGCATAGTAAGATTTAGCAATGTCTTCACAATGAAATTTGATGACATCATTTCTGAGCAGGACTCCAATACAGTATTAATTTCATGTACTGAGTGTCCCACTAACCATGGATTGTGCTCAGCTGTTATCTCAGCGCGTCTCGCTATCTTTATGACATAGTTTATTGATCTTTGAAGAGATTGACACACATATCAGTACAAGTGCTGCAAATAAAAATATCCTGTTGGAATGAACAAGGACCTCGACACAATTTCAGAAAAAAATATCTCTGAACCTCTAACAGGTTACTGATAATAGATAATAATGGCATTAATAGAGTATAAAACTACCATTACCTAGTGAATTATATACTGTGTGGGTGGAAACGGAAAAAAGAACAAATTGATTGAGCTAACATTTTGGTATCTATTGGAATTGGATAGTCAACAGGTAAGGTGAGCTTGGCATGTACCGGTAGCGTCAACAGCTGTGGACACCAGCATATGGTGTGTGAAGTTAAGCATTTTCCACATTGGCTGTGACAGGAGGTGGTGTGATGCTATACACTTGAGATAACCTTATTAATACATTACTAGGCAGGACTAAATAATGTATGCTATGGTAATATACCACCAAGCATGTCCAGACCTTGATCATCGGTAATACAGCACCAGGCAAGTCTAGTACAGAACACCCTTTGTAATACAGCACCAGGCAAGTCTAGTACATAACACCCTTGGTAATATAGCACCAGGCAAGTCTAGTACATAAAACCCTTGGTAATCTAGCACCAGGCAAGTCTAGTACATAATACCCTTGGTAATACAGCACCAGGCAAGTCTAGTACATAACACCTTTGGTAATACAGCACCAGGCAAGTCTAGTACATAATACCCTTGGTAATACAGCACCAAGCAAGTCTAGTACATAACACCCTTGGTAATACAGCACCAGGCAAGTCTAGTACAGAACACCCTTGGTAATACAGCACCAGGCAAGTCTAGTACATAACACCCTTGGTAATACAGCACCAGGCAAGTCTAGTACATAATACCCTTGGTAATACAGCACCAAGCAAGTCTAGTACATAACACCCTTGGTAATACAGCACCAGGCAAGTCTAGTACATAATACCCTTGGTAATACAGCACCAGGCAAGTCTAGTACATAATACCCTTGGTAATACAGCACCAGGCAAGTCTAGTACATAACACCCTTGGTAATACAGCACCAGGAAAGTCTAGTACATAACACCCTTGGTAATACAGCACCAAGCAAGTCTAGTACATAATACCCTTGGTAATACAGCACCAGGCAAGTCTAGTACATAATACCCTTGGTAATACAGCACCAGGCAAGTCTAGTACATAACACCCTTGGTAATACAGCACCAAGCAAGTCTAGTACATAAAACCCTTGGTAATACAGCACCAAGCAAGTCTAGTACATAACACCCTTGGTAATACAGCACCAGGCAAGTCTAGTGCATAACACCCTTGGTAATATAGCACCAGGCAAGTCTAGATGGTGATGTCAGCTTCCATTGTCAAACATCAGGCACATTTTATCTCCTTATAAAGCAGCTAATACCACATTACGGATATTCACCTTGTACAGGCGTAGATTAGCACTAATCTTGTCACTACACCTATGAAGACAAACAAAAGGTATAAGCATACAAAAGTTACTTTGATGGATACTAAGTACTTTCTCCTGGTCCGACAGATACTGCAAGTTTCTCAGAAGATACACACTGTGTTGTTTAGCTTTATGGTTGTTAATGAGTATTTAATGCCCAGAAGTTTGTTTTTGTGGTATTAAATGTTCCCAGTCTTCCTGGCACTTGCTATCAATAATATAAAAGGACACAGAGACTTCGACACACGTGTCTGTCAGATACCATTCATCTTACGACTTGTAAGATATATCGTAAATGACATGCATATGTGCAGTAAGGCGTTTTTTACGCACTCTAAAATCCATTTTAGCATCAAATTGTTTCATATTTTGTCTATCCTCATGATCGCAGTGGCGCACATCACGCAAAAGTCATAAGTGTCGTCATCCAGCTTACTGCTAACAACTCACACCTAGTGTGACCCTGCAAAAACATTTTTTTACGAACATTACAAAACCAAAATGCTTCGTGACAGACATAGGTGAATTCCACTGAAGCACAAGAAATCTGTCAGTGGATTACAACCAGGAAAGAGGTCAATCATAATCTGACCTTAGGTCATCACCATGGAGTAGCCAATCACAGACCTGGGAATCCATCTTACACGTTTGATACCAGTTATATCAAATGGGTTTCTCACCCATGGGCGTGTAAGAAACTTTCTTATTTAATGCTTGACAGAACAAGTTAGCTTGGGTAGGTCGAAATAATAAACATGAACTTGTGTAACTGAATATTTTATTTGGTATAACATTATGTGAGTGGTACTTGATGAAGTCACCTGGTCGTGCACCTTGAGTGAGACAGTCGACCAGGATCTGGACACACACAAAGTTTGTTCAACCCAACCTAAATATAGTTGTGTTCGCTACCTCTCACACATACACACACACATTTGGACATCGCTTCCACACACACTTGGTTTAAACTGACCACTGCTTGGTACAACTGCATGTCCATAGTGACTTAAATGACATGTCCCTGACATCGTCTTGTCTGAAAACGAAGAAGCAATATTTACATGATGGATTCAGTATAATTCCTGTTACACACGACTACCGAGCCGCGATACCTGCCCTGGGTAACTAAGACTGACATGATAGACCAACAGAGCAGGGGCACTATTAAAGCAATCCCATTAGTTGTTGTGCAACTTTGAAAAACCATAATGTATTGAGGTAAAGCACTATCTTGATGAAATACCATGTAGTGATAATCTATCTTTCCTGGCATTTCAAAAGTTTGGGTCAAATATGATGAATGTATGTAATACAGCAGTAGAAATGGTAAAACCTGTAGAATAGCACTATCTTTGTGTTCATAAAAACTTGTAGAATAAACACTGTGTGATTGTATCACTGATATAGCCATACATAAAGCAACCTACAGGATGCTTACACAACAATGCAGAAATGACATGATTACCTAAAAGTCTTGAGACAAAATGGACAAAAGGTCAATCAGACTGCAAGCATATTCAAAATGTTTAAAAAAAACCCCACAAATACATGGATAAGCATTATATATATGTCATCAAGATGTCATTAGTATTTTCCTTCACATGATTAACATGCTGACCACAAGCCAGGCAAGATCTTGGTGTTTATGTATGGACTCAGCAAATACAAGACTGAAAGAAACAATACAAGATGCAGGCTTTGGATTAGTGGCTAAGGTCACAGATTGTATCCAATATATTTAGCACAGATGTAGATGCTGGTTAGTTTACCACTCCCTGTCATGTCTAGACTACTGTCATTGACAAGCAGGTCCCTTGTGGGCATCCCTGGTTAGAACAGGTCCCCAGCAACCTATGCTGGTCGTAAGAGAGGACCAAAAGGATCAGGTGGTCATGCTTGGTGACTTGGTTGGTGGTGCGTGGATCGTTGTACATAATATTGATTGTGGCATTCAAAACAAAACACATACACAAGCAGGTAGATGATTCCCCTTGTCAGCATGCTGACTGAGAATGGTGCTCAACAGTCTCCCTACAAGCAGCAAAACAGTGGCGGTTGCCATGAGATGGGGCTGTGTTCCTACTGCAGGCACAATGGCGGCATTGATGAAGTAGGGGATGTGGAACACTGCCGGGCCGGGGACTATGTCCAGGAGGTGATGGTGCTACATGCTGTGTTGCGGATATGGTGTGGCAGTATCATCATCTGGCACGTCACTGCCACCTGGTTCAACTGTCCTGTCTTGTTACCCGAATATATAAGCGATTCTTTATCAACTATGAAATCCTATAAACAACCTGTGAAAAACAACTCCAACCTACTTCGTACTAGCCTTTGTAATATCATCAGCATCGTTTTTCATTTCTCAAACATGCCACATATATGAATCAGGGAGTCGTTTTTAATGCTGCTTTGAACAGTATTTCAGTTATATCACAGCATGTCAGCTTTACATGGAGGAAAGACCAAACAGATTCAAATCCAAGACATTTACCACTTTAGCGAATCTCACAAGCATGGGCATTGTGCTGACAGATCAACAATCACGGAGAATCTGGGATCCGAACCTATGATAATAGTAGCATCTTGGCAAGACACAGGTATGCAAATCTGCATAGCGAACTGTGACACCATAGATGACTGGGCCAGCTGTGACCACACTACAAACATGACGTCTGATCACTAATGTTGAAACATGTTTCTCTAAACTTTCTCTCAAGAAGTTAAAGGCACAGACTGCTGAATACAGCTATCAAGCATTTCATAGAGGTGTAAATTATCAAAGAAAAAACAATCTTAAAATATATACAACATATAGAAGAGAATGACTTTACATAAGATGGAGTCTATGCAATGTTCAGTCTTATGATGACCTTTAAATTACACGATGATAATGCTTCAGTGTTCAAAAATATGGGCAATCCTTGGGTCCTCAAGCATGAGGTTATCTGCTATTGTTATTAATCTAAGGACCCCTTAAATGTTTTATTATTTACATTACAGTAATGACAAGGGTGCCAGGATTTCACTCCTAATCTTAAACACTGATTCTTCATCATGGCTGTCGTGATATGACAGTTCTTTTAAAACACTTGCACACACAAACTGAAATGAACTCACCACTTCCATATATACAGATTTGTTTTTCTTCAGTAATTGATATTAAACTTTCACCATCCCATATCACAATATCGGGTAGTATACAGTGTAGACATAGAGAAACATATGTACATGATAAACAGCAGAAGTTGTAGAACCACCCACTTTGTCAAAACCATGAAGTCCACAATAAATCATTACTTTTATCCCTCCTCACATCACTGTATTGTCCCTGGGGAACTAGCGATAAGGAACTGAAACTGTTCCTTTCTTTACATCATGAAATACACCTATATGTGGTCCTACCAAACACTCATGGATCATGACTCACACATTGACAGTTAATATATGGAGGCCTTGAACAGTTGGTTTAAAAACAAACATTCTTAAATAACACCTTTCACACTTTTGATAAAAAATCTAATCCTTAAATATTGTGGTCTAATGGAAGGACCTTGTGTCTACAACATTACCGAACGGGACAATAACTGTAGACAAGTGTGTACTTGATGTAGTAGGCTGGCGGACTCAGCAATGTCCTCCCAGGTATAGATGATACAAGACAGGAGACTACTCAGCCAGGCTAGGTGAAGCAATAGTTTGCTCACTATCAATCTCCATTCAGTTGGGATACAGACCCTGCACCTAGTCCCACCTTAGCTTCATTTTGATGCTGGTTTGGTTGACCATGTTGGTTAAAAACAGATGCTGTTTATTTATGATTTAATGAGTAGCAGACTACAGAATCACCAGGACTCATCTCAACTTATATTTCGCTAATACAATCGAAACGTCTTGTAGCATAATGAAGATATATTACCATGGATACGTGTGGATAGCTCACCATGCACATATGATCTTTGAGAAGACAGTTTGTCTGTCAAGGCCAGGAGACATATATTTTCTACATAACTGATCCTCCATCAGTATTATGCTAGCCAATATGGCAAACATAGATCTAGAAGTAAAAGGAAATTCTGTGGTTGACATTTTAAACAGCACAAAAAAGGAACATGTGTGTCTAGCCCAACTACTAACTACACATACATACCAGATTTCATTACATTTTGAGCTAAAATGGTTGAGTAATTGCCATGAACATGTTTTTCAGCATGGCTGCCATGTTTGTTTAAAAACAAGTTTCTCTAGATTTCTACAAGTCTTGGACTATGGTACAAGTGACCATATCTTACCCCTGTATCTTACTCATGCTAACGGTATCCTCCAGGAGAGGAGAATAATCAGGTGTTAGTTAGTTTCCCACTGCTCAAGTGCTTAGAAACACCAGTTCCTGCCCTGACAATAGTGAGTGAGTGAGATTTTACGCCGCTTTTAGCAATATTCAAGCAATATCACGGCGGGGGACACCAGAAATGGGCTTCACACATTGTACCCATGTCGGGAATCGAACCCGGGTCTTCGGCGTGATGAGCGAACGCTTTAACCACTAGGCTACCCGACCGCCCCTGCCCTGACAATAAGACATTTTCACTTTCCCAGTACGTGACATTTTGTCTTCTGCCTGCCTAATACTGGTCGGACATCATGGTTCTGACAAAGCTAATCCTAATCATTCATTCATCTTTGGCAAGATCAAGAAAACCCCTTAAAATGATACACAGTGCCCAATACAACAGGAATGACGATGCAGAGAACAATCACTGTTGCTATAATCGTGCGGTACGACATTCCACAGTCCGCGCCATTGTACGCCTGGGATTTCCTCCTTTCAAGAGGGTAGAATGTTTTGTTTGTCAGCACTGATATTACTTCATCAAGAGAGTTGCGGTCCCCTCGAGACTTTTTCATTTTAGACAAATCTTTATCCATGCTTTTGAGAAAATTCTCTGCTTCTCTGCTTTGGGAGTTTATATTATCTCGTATACTGAGTGTCCGGATGATCTTCATCTGTGTGTCAGGGTCACTGAGGTCGTGGGAGGACTCAGGATCGTCATAGTTCTCCAGAAGGGGGCCAGTTTCCTCCATGTAACTTGCACTGTTGAGTTCCGTAGAAAACGTTTCTCTGGGTTTTTTCTTCTTCTCCTCTTCAATAATTTCTGACAAGACTCCATATCTCCTGATAGGCACTTTTATTTTTCTCAGAGCATAGAAGTCTTGATCTCGGATTAAGTTATTAATTCTCTTCAACTCTGACACCTGGCAACACAAAAACACACAACACATGATGCAAACATGGCAAATTGACGATATCATTTTTGTTTGTTTGTTTGTTGTTAAACGCCACAGCAATATTCCAGCTATATGACGGCGGTCTGTAAATTATCAAGTCTGGACCAAACAGTGGAGTGATTGACATCATGAGCATCGATCCACGCAATTGTGATACCATGACATGCATCAACCAAGTATGCGAGCCTGACCAAATGATCCCGATAGTGGCTTCTTACGACCAGCATGGTCACCTGTTACTTCAAGCATGAGTTGCTGAAGACCTATTCTCTATCCGGATCTTCACAGGTCTGGACGATATGACAAAATGTATTGTTGAAACATTTGCATTACTCTTAAAAAACAGCTGTCCAATGATTTGTACATTCACTGAACTGCTAAGTCCATATTATAACAATAGTGATAAAAAAACAAACCCCCCAAAACCCAACACTTTTCAATATAAAATGAAATTTAGTGCTTAATAATGTAAACTAAAAAATGTTAAATAAGCTCCTAACATGCTTAATGAATACTTTTTGAAAAAAAAATGAAAATGTATGTGCAGCTTCCTTCTGGTCTCAGAGCTGACCGAATCTTCTCAAATTGTCTGGTTAGGTATCATGAGATACTGTTGTAATTTCTTTTCCTGTTCTGCTAGGCATTGTTTTATATGCATAGGTTAAGATAACTGTGTGTATTTGTCAGAGATAGCATTCATCTGTACACACATACTCTCCCAGATCTACTGGTGATTCAGTAGCGATACCTAATAATATATATGTCAAAGAATATTAATGCAATGATCAGAGGAAATTGTACCTGAAAATATATTTTTACCTGGACTAATATATTCCATAAACATGATAAAGGCAATATTGTGTATTTTAGCTACAGCCTTTACAATACATTTATGGCATTGTGAGTTGCATTGGTAAGGGTGGTGTGTTGTGGATGTTTTTTTTGTTTTGTTTGTTGTTCAATGTCGCACTCAACGATTTTCCAGCTGTATGATAACAATCGAGTCTGGACCAGACAATCCAGTATCATTCTTATATGACCTATTTTCAGGATACAGTACCAAATTCACCACATCCGTTATAGAGAACATGAATAATCATAAAGGTTAGTGAGCGCGTTTTGTTCCGTTTAGTGTACATAACAAGTACTGCGATACCCCGAGGTTGCAGGCTGGGGGCCAATTTAGGAATTAAACGCATGACTGGCTCCTGTCACAACTCAGTGTCCACATTGATAAGATTGAGAGTAGTGCAGCTTGACAGTGTTAGTGGAGTACCTGTCAAAGGCTTGAAAGAGGGACTAAGTCTGGAGCTGATTTCAAGACCAGTGTTAGATGCTGAATTAAGTTGAATTCGTGGAAATGATACTGTCTTTGTGTACTTTCAGTAATCTACAACAGCTGTAACTACTTGACTGACACATACAATTTCAGTTGTTTGAATTGATATATTTAAATTTAGGAAGCAGCAATTTGTGTTGTCCTTCATAGAAGTGAGTGAGTGAGTGAGTAGTTTGGTTTAACGCCCCTTTAAACAGTATTCCAGTTACATGTATATCATTCCAGTCAGCTTATTGTGGGAGGAAAGCCTAAAGTGATGCAGGTCTCAGACTTTTACTACGAGCATGGGTATGGAGTTGACAAACCTAGAAACATAAGTGATGCGAATCGGGATTCGAACCCCAAATCGTAGGTTTCTGGCATGCCCAATGGACGCAACTCTGCACAGCGAATTGTGGCGCCTTAAACGAGTGCGAAACTTGTGCCCCTCTTCATATAAACTGCACCATGGTCACAACAATACGGCACTGTCTAATTTCTTGCCTGGATATAGAACAAATTGAAACTCACTGGACAAGAATACTGTAGGGCAATTTTCTGCAGTGTATCCCCTTCACTAAGCTCCTTATCGAAGAATGAGGGTTCGCTTTCTGTGACCATTTCACGTGAAGGTTGTGACATTCCACGCCTCGATCTGATTTCTGACATTTCGAGTTCATACTCCTCCTCTTCATCCTGGACAACCGAGTCGTTCCCAAACACATAAACTCTCGAAGATTTGACATTTTGAATCTGGCCGGATGAGAACTGGTTGTCATTTTTCTTTGACAGCAGTGAATCCCGGCTGGCACCTCGAGTATACCCTCTACTCATAACAACGATTTTTTTCTTCCACAATGAGTGTCCAAAGACCAGACATGCTCCTTCTGTATTCAGGGACTGGATATTAGTCCATAAGTTTGACCATTGCAATCAGTCAACAACTTCTGAAGTTTCATCTCCACGTAGAGGAACTGCATGGCAAACAGGAAGTGCGTCTGCGCATGTGAAACTGTAAGGAAAGACAACTCTGACTAAATCTGAGTGAACCCATAGACATTGAAACGTGATAGATAATGACCACCATTCGCATATGATAAGCTCATGTATTTATAAATTCAGTCATTCGTTTGACTAGGTTATTGTTCATTTTGTTAAAACGATAAATATAATTTTTATCGATTGGAATGTTCACTAACTAAAAAAACGAATCGGCGTCTTTGATTGCACGTAAAGTTATTTTCACACCTCACTTCCGGAAACAAGTTCCAAAGGAAATTTCGATTTAGAAATTACTTACGACAGAGATGGTGTGTGTTCCATGTCTCGTGATTCCTTTTGTGCTGTGGGTGTTCCACAAATATATCCGACCAGTTCTGATCAAAATATGGAATCCATTTGGTATACTGGGTAAAGAAGACACCCAAACTGACAAATCAGCACAAGAAGAAAAACAAAAGGTAAACTCATGCTCCTACGGTTGCTGTGGTTTTGCCAGCCTACTGCATCGTCTAGATTTTTTAAAATTACTTATTGAAATTAAAACATAGCCCTACTCACATTGTACTGGTAGAAGGTAAATTTTGATAAGCCGCCAAACTCGTCGACAGTGGTCAATATCAAGTGCCTTCACAAGTGAAAATATGGGATACAAAGGGCCTAGTGCTGGCCTATGGATGCATACCATCCTGACAAAAGCATAGAATAAAACATGCGTAGCAATGGGATCAAAAATCCCCAAATGATGATGTTAACATTTTTACTAAACTTGGTATGTATTGGTCAGCCCTCGGCCCTCTCGTTTGATTGCCCAACTAATTATATATTGAGGGGGCAAAGGTCATGTTATCTGGACTAGTTCGTGTAGACATGATGATCATGTTGAATTCTTATAAATGTGACTAAATGAAGGTCAAGTTTGATAGGTCAGTGCACATGCTTGGATCTTCTATTGTAAGGTTTCAATTGGTCAACTGTAAATCTTGAAATTAACATGAGCGTGAATTAAATTCGAAAACTGTGAGTGGTCTTTGCTCGCATTAACTAAACTTTGCATCTATGTCTTCAAAATCACTATAAAAAATAAGGCAGCCTCACTGCACACTTTGGATAGCGGAAATACCAACTTCCATTAATATCAGTAGGTCAGTAGTCGCATTAATTTGGAGACACATCAATTTCAAGATTTACTGTATTTGATTATACTCAGGTCATACTGACATGATAAAGGGTGTTAAACATTACATTCATCTCTTTGGGGAAACATTTTCATGACTGATCAGCAACTTTGTTAACTATGTATATGAAATGTGATATATTTCCACAAGAAGAGATTATTTCTAGGCTTCCTATGAACATGATGTATGTAAAACTGATAATTGTATTTTATGATACATCCAATATATCTATATTTTTTCAGTTACATACGGAGCAAAATGGACTTTCAAAACCTCATGACAATGGTATACAGAATGGTGTTGCAAATGGAGGGGTGAAAGTCGGTGGTTCCAGCAAAAAAGATGACTGACAGAATACCCCTGATGGAATAAAGACCCGGAAAAATACTTTCAAGTGGAAATAAAGAAATGTGACAGTTTCCCTGGCTAAAAAATGTTATTCTTTTACACAGATTTTTTGATATACAAGAGTCAAATTTACTTCATCTTTTCTTTTTGCTCAATAGTAAACACACAGTGAAGTTGACACAATCGATTGTGCATCTTATTCTAAGCACAGCATCTTTTATTGTAGTATATCATCAATGTGATTGTTTTATGTAGGTGTGACACTAAATGGGTGTTTAGAACCATGTGTATTATAATATTCGAGATGATGATAATGAACATTGCATTTTCATCATTTTAGTTGTGTATGTTAAGTGTGAAATATCTAGTATTTATCATTAACAAAATGGTGAGCTGCATACAACTGCAGTGACCTATTTCTTTTGGTTTAATTGATATAAACAAGAATGGAATAAGAAATATTTGTAAATAACTTTGAAGTTGAAGGCACATATGAAGTTACTGATGTACTTGCACAAAGCAAACTTAGTGCTAAGACTGTTGTAAGTCCCAAGCATTGGCACACTTACGATGATCATGCTGCAAAGTTAGCTTTGTGCAACCTGGGCCAAATCATGTGACCTTTTCCCCATTTTGATGTAACACAATTCAAACATGCTATTCCTATCTCCTTTTGCCAAGGGTAACCATGGCAACTGTAGTTTTTAATCATGATTATCCCAGTTGTAGGCATGAACCAGTTTATGTTATTATTGTCCATATCCAACCAATATTGCTGGGTTTTCTGAAGATTGTGTGCTCGATCCAGCGTCTCTTTTATCATTTATTCCAAAGCCAGTGACAGGTTCAAGCCTGGTTCCATTATGTCCAGGATGGTGGCTGTGATACGGAATATTAACTAAATATTCATTATTCAGTTTTTGGTCTTGTTTTTAATTATGTTGTAAAATAAAATGTGTCTAAAAAATACTGGTGTTCGGTTGTTATGATGTCCAAAGCAAGCACTACACTGGGATGAAGTAAGTTCAGAAATGTTTTTGTGGACATGATATGAAGTCTGGACCAGACAATCCAATGATTCATTATCTGAACAACAATCGACCATCATAGGGTGCTGGGGTCTATTCTCACCTGGAATCCCCACACAGTGAATGATAGACGTAACCTCAGGTCTTGACGAGGAATGAATATTAGTATTCAAGAAGAACAAAAATCATATACGTCTTATTTCCCTTTTATTGAAGGTATATTTACATACATGATACAGAGAAAATAATAGGCCCTGTACCAAGTGTTGAAAGGTTTCTTCCAGTGATTTGAAATTTCTTGTTTTCAATGTTTGGTCATCATTAATTCGGGCTCTGAGAAAAACCAATTAGTTTTTACTTGTAAATATTTGTACAATATTAGACGTTTTTGGAGACCAGAAATTTTCTTGAAAAGAGCTGTAGACTTGTACCGGTATATTCACACTCAGCATCTCCATGATGTCCACTTCTGCATGTTCTTTGCTTCATCTGGTGTCTCCTGAAGAGCCAGCATTAGTGTCCACATCTAGACATTCCCTGAGCAACCAGCTAATCAACAGGTGTGACTATTCTTCATATTGTGAAACGCCACATGCTGTAAGTATGGTTCCAGTGTTGACCATTGTCTCATTGAGCTGTGGGCCTAATCTAAATTTTTAACTGTATTCAACACACGATTTTTTGTTTGTTGTTTAACATTACCCTGGGCAATATTCCAGCTGTGATGGATGCCTGTAATTAGCCAAGACAAACAAGTGATTGATATTATGAGCAACATCCCACGCCATATGGGTACACTGACACAATCAACCAATGAGCCTGGCCATACATTCTATTTAGTTCTCGTACAAGCATACGGGGATCTGTTCTCACCTGGAGACCCAATGGGTTCAAAACATGAAATAAACAGGAACATGACATACTTTCAATAGCCATGGTTCCCCTGCTCTCGCACCTAACAGCATCATCAACCATCTCTGGTCAACTGGACTACTGCACAGCTAGTGGAATGCACTTTCATCACAGTAACCATTACTACAGCCTTAACTTAACATAAGCAAACCTCATCCTGTCCACATCACATTCACAGGTACATCTCTGTCCGTCTCAGTACCACTCAGCTGATTAGCTCTGTTTCACATCATCCCGTCCATCACATCACATTCACAGGTACATCTCCGTCTGTCTCAGTACCACTCCGCTGATAAGCTCTGTTTGACATCATCCTGATTTTCCCGCCTCAGCTTGGTGATGATGGCCGACTCGCCACTCTTCCTGATCCGCCGGGCGTTCTGTTTCATCTTTTCCCTCATTATCTGACCTTTAACCTTCCTCTTGATGAGGTCAGGATGTATTGTGGAACTAGCCACGCTGACATTATCTTGGTGTGGTTGGGTCAGGTGGAGGTTTGTGTGGGCCATGCTGTCTTCAGTCCTGAACGGCCGGTATGATCTGTTGGCCTCCCTCAAGTCCTCAACATCCTCCTCATCACATCCGCTGTCTGCACTATCTGGCTGACACAAGTCTACAGATGCTGCTGTCCTTGGTTGGTCTGCACGTTCGGACTGGTCACAACTTAACTTAGTTCCAGACATACTGCTGACAATGTCGGCACATTCCTCTGGAGCTGTCTGTTCAGAACTTGTATCATCGGCACCCAGCTCCTGGGAACACCCTGCCAGCCATGCTGAAACTCGGGGATTAGTTTCCATGGCAACAGCACCTTCTTTGACTGACTCTCGTGTTTCTGCTTCTTCATCTACTTCCTCTTCTTCTCCGTCGTCATCTACGTCAATATCTCGAGCTCTCCCACACTCTGGTCCCCCGAGAATTCCCAAGTCATCTGCAGCCTGCAACAGAAACAGCTCAATCAAACACCACACTTAAACAGCCCACTCAATCACCACACTTAAACAGCTCGCTCAAACACCACATATAAACTGACTGTCAAAACAACACAGAAACACCACAGTTAAACTAATTGTCATAACTAGACACAACATGCTTGAGGTGCAGGATGTTACCAGTTCACTACAATATTAGTCCTGCACCATGTTTGCAGCATACTGGCATCTTTATTTCTGTATATTGCATCCAATACTACCACTCCGTAGAACATTTTCATCAGTTCCTATTTCAGAAAACTGATTTCCAGTTTTTATTTGGACCTTATCCTTCCTGTCATCATCATCTCCCTGGCTTCATCTTCCATCAGTTTCGTCAAATCATTGGTTTTCGGACGTTATATGTTTAGATCTGCCATGTTTATCGTGATTACTCGCGCTATAACTGGGGGTGTAGCATCACAGTCATTGTAAATCCTCAGCTGATGGCTTGTTTTTAAGAGAAAGTTGTCTTGTAAAGGTGAATGCGATGTGTGACAGTCATTCATGTAATTAGAGAGAAAACTATGAATGTTTCTTAAGTGTACGAAAACCCATAACATGGGGGATACCTCATCAAACGAAGCAGCCATCTCCTTCGTGAAGCCGCTAGCTGACACTTCCACATCCAAATTATCCTCTCGCCTGAAACAAATGATAGAATGTACCACAAAATTTATTTCACGAAACTTCAGAAACATACATCAGATACCGTTCCAGGACGCTTTTCCCCGGATGCTTCAGAACACTCCTGGTTGCCAGGCAACTCCCCAAACAATCTTATTCTTGACTATGTTGACCTTCTGAGAGAGTTAGGGCCAATAAGCAATGCATAAGCCAAGTTTCGTTGAAAAATGTTGAAAGGTTTTCAAGTTATTGCCCGGAGGGAAACAAAACCTACCCTCGTCTGAGACTAAGCAGAAATTGTTTCCAAGGAAACATAAGAAAATATAATTAGAAAAATTTCAAAATAACAAAAGGCACCAGTTAAAATGATGAGCAGTGCATAAAAATGAAAGAACAACAACTGGTAGTCTAGATCACATACTTTGTGTACCCCTCTGACATTTGACCACTTTCTAAATGGCATTGTGTGTTCATAGCTTTCGGCCATGGGAGCCGTGCCAATTTACACTTGTCAGAGGGGTACACAAAGTATGTGATCTAGACTACCAGTTGTCAGACTTTAATGTTTGTGGTGGCTGAGTGGGTTAGATCACTGACTTAGTGTGCTGGTGATTAGGTGCCTCACTCTGGCGGTGTGGGTTCGAATACCGGACAGGACTCAACCCAAAAATGTATGAGAATCTGTACTTTACCAAGAAAGTGTTATCCCAAAAATAACATTTGCCAAGTTTTGTTGAAAAACATTGAATGTTTTTCAAGTTATGGCTCGGAATATTTTCCCTTATTTGGGGAGAAATAACAAAGCTCACAATCAACAAGGTAGATGTCATGCTTCTTACCAAGTTCAGTGTCAAGAGTGGTCAGTAGGTTCACACAAGTCTTCATCAAGCTGTTATGACAGATACCAACCATGTATGATGGCGTCTTTGTTCTTGGCAAACTTGTCAAATAATGTTATGATTACAAGAAAAATACTGCTCCCCAACGTAGTGACCATGTCCAGTACAGTACCAGCAGTTGTGAATACTTAACACTGCTAATGTACGTTCAAGGATTGTGTAACTTCATGTGACACCACATGGAACTTGTACAATCTCCTGGTGACCTGACCTATCTGATTTGGAATTCCTTACTTTTGACTTAGATCACATGTCAAGCGAATAAAATTAAGCTGTTATCATTAGCCTTAATTTCATGACACATTTTAGGTCAGGGACTGACACTTGCATTAATTTGGTGATGTATCGGTTTCATGATTTACTGTATAGTTAATATGTTCAGATTCAAATTAACCTTAGGAGGATGTCTTCTGAATCCAAGTTTTGATAAGTTGAACACAGAAAAGATTTGATTCACCTATTAAGTTTCCTTTAGAGTGCCTTTCAAAAGTCCTGTTCCTGGTTACCTTGACAACAACTGATCAAGCATGTAAGGACCAAATTTCAATCGTAATTCTGAGATCCAATATGTTTGTGTTAAGCTGGCACAAGGCAATGTCTTTACGTCAACCCAAGTATTTCAAGTAGGGACACCTGCCCATGCTAACACATGCAGACAGAACGTTCACTGAGGCAGTCCCAAGGTAGGCAACTCTGCACAACATACTGTGGTTCCTCCGATGATTCAGTCATTCCTGCCCCAACAAGATTTAGACGTTACATGAGTAACTGTCAGTTTGTATAATGATGGTACTTACTGGACATCTTTGAATGTTGGGTAAAGTTCACTCTCGTAATCAAATCTTCTGACGAAGAAGTCTCGGATGCACTGTACATCACGATTAAAGTACCTGAAACAGGAACACAGACATGACATACAGCATGAAGACACATCCCAAGAAGCCAAGTTTACACTCAGCCTATGGCAACTGGTTTGATGTACTGTTATGAATGTCCTGGATGTTTGTTTGTTTGTTGTTTAATGCCGCACTAAGCAATATTCCAGCTATATGACGGTGGTCTGTAATTAATTGTGTCTGGACCAGACAATCCAGTGATTGACATCATGAGCATCGATCTATGCAATTGGGACACGATGACATGCATCAACCAAGACACCAGATCCCGTTAGTTGCCTTTTACGGCATGCATGGGTTACTGAAGACCTTTTCTCTACCCAGATCGTCATGGTCTCTGGATGTTAGGAAAATAGACAAACAGGGTGCTTATTAAAGCCATACATAACCATGATAACAAGTTAAATTTTTTCAGAGATCAATGGAAGGTCAACACACTTAGTTTAAACATTGAATAAACAAAAACATTTTTTATATTAAATAGGTACAAGCAAATTATACAGCCATCCTCCGTTGCAGGTATCTGTGACGCTGAAGTATCAATAATCTGATCTCACCATTCAGCATTTGGGTGGTTTGTGGACACCATCTGTGGGAAGTCGATCATAGTGACTCGGTCCTCGCCATCCACCATCAGGTTAAACTCATTGAAATCTCCATGTATGACGCCACAGTTGCCGAGCCTCACAATGAGTTCCATGCACTCGCTGTACACTGCGGAGGGGTCTTGGAGTTGGTGGACCTGGCACCTGAAGGACACACCAGTACCCAAATGTAGTGGAAGATTCTCTCTGATGAACTAACTGCATCTACAAGCTCCAGTTTGTGTTTTGGCATACTCTTTTGTAGATTTTAGTTTGAGAAAAGGAACTATAATAAGGTACATTGAATAAGAGAAATTAACTCTTGACTTTTCTTATATTTTTCAATATACTTGAAATTTGCCTGAATTAATCAACAAGCAACATGACATTTAAACCTCCCAGGATCAGACAGAACTAGTTTTTCAGTAACAGTCTTACATGGGGTGAGCCGCCAACAGCTCCATCACAACTGCATGACGGTTAAAGTCCACAGGCTTCGGTACGGGAAATCCTCTCTCAAACAGAGCCTGTTGAACAGAAGAGTTGAGTGAATGGAGGTTCCACATCAATGTTGACAACAGCAGCCTTCTCTTCAAAGCCTGGATCTGTGGGCTGGGCATGTATAAAACAGGCCACTCCTCAACCAGTATCGATACTTGTGTGTATTCACTATTATACGTTCCTCCACCAACCGTGAATATGTTGGGCTGATATGTGGTGTGGTGGTGGCAGGTGTCTATTTTCTCAGAATTTTTTTTAATTAAAGACTAGTCCATATGACTATTGCAAACTTTATTTTACTAGTCCTCAGAGTTTGAAGCCAGTCCTGCTTGAATGAGACACAATTGTGTACCATGTTTACATTTTCTGTCAGTTCTATACCCGTGCACTACCGACGATGCCCCCTACCTTCATGTAGGCAAACTCCTTCATGGCTGCCAGTCTGGCCAGGTACAACCAGGATGTGAACTTCCGATGTTTGTGATAGTCACGTTTATTTTTCAACTGGCGGAAAGATGTTCTTCCAAGTCTGCAAGAAAGCAAGCGTTCTTAGATTGCAAATCATTATTGATAATAAAACTTAGTGGATTTTGTATATATAGATTAGCCCCCCAAAATTGAATCCCTGCTCAGAGGATCTTAACAGCATGACCAAGGGATGCAATTCTGCACAGCAATGTACCACAGGCTAGAGAAATTAGATTACTAATTCACTGGCTTGTTTTGGCTCTGAAATTTAGCAAAAAAGTTCCTGGACAATAACGATACTCCAGTTGTAATTAACACAAGCAATTCCAGCTTCCGAAATGTTTTCCTACGACGTAAATGTGAGATGTATTTCTTTAGCGCTGATTGATATGCTACATAGAAAGAATGCCTAACTGTAGCATGTGTAGCACTGAGCTCTCACCTGTGAAACTTCAATGCCATCTGTATGTTGTCTTCATTAGCCACAATGTACACATCTGACAACAAAACAGTTTCATCTCAACATCTCCTGTAAGGCTCTTCAATTATTTCTTTAACAAATATACTCCTCCAGCCCAAAAAAGATTCTGTATTAAAGTACTAATCATTAATTTACATCAAAAGTATTGAAAACAGTTAACATGGTTAATGTTGTCGAAAAATTATTTTTGCATAATATTCATGATATCTGTTAAATATGGTTACTTGACTTAAATAATCAACACATTTTCATAGAGTAACTGATCAACAAAGCATAATTTGAGTTTCAAGAAACTGATGCTACCTGATTCTTTTCCAACACCGATTTGATTGCCAAGGGAGAACACCATGTCCCGACAGGCTAGAGCCTTGAGTGCTAAGTAGTCATAGCCAGAGTTGGTCAGCCTGTAGCCTTCAACTGTAATACAAGAACCTGATTGACATCTTGAAATACCAGACGAATCTATGATCGGTTTGAGGAGCTGAGAATTAACAGTTGTTGTTTGTTGACAGATTCGGTGGAGATTCCATTTCTATGGCAGAATGTTCCCAGGACCCCATGCTTGTCTTAGGATCTGAACTGATTGAGGACTGGGTGGCTGCCATATGTAAGTTAGAGCTGAGTATCGCCTGGTATCTTGTGATACGATTCGTATTACGATACGGACCGACGATACTACTGGTATCACGATACACATCAAATAGTAAGAAATGATGAAATCACTGAAATACAGCCCTAAAACCTCTTTCTTCATACATTTATTTACTGTCATCTGAAAAACGTTTACAAAGAAAACCACAATATCAAAACAGTTTTAAATGGTTATTAAATGTAACAGTCAAAGCATGCACAGGTACCACGTCTTTGTGTTCTGCCATGCTTACAGGTGGCGCTATGCTACTTCTGCCATTACGGGAAGTAGTTCTATTAGCTCCTGTTCTATTTATAGCATATCACAATCTCACAAACTGACGTGTGTACCTAAGTATCAATAATATCGTAGATCAGTAAATCGTTACAGCCCTAGTGTATGTTCTAAATTACCACCTGGATGTTTGCTTTGTCCAGAGCATTATTAACAGGACATCACAATATATAAGAAAACATACAACTTTATGGATAACAACTATACATGGTCACAATATAGTTTGACCATTCGCAAGTTATTCTTCGCATATCATCTTATTGTCATTAACAAACTTACAACGCTTCCCTCCCCTCTCATATGCAACCAGCTTGTGCTTGGAGAGTTCCCGCAGGACTTTGTGACATCCTCCCCCATGGAGATGAGCAATGGATGCGATGAGGGGGGACGGCACCATCTCGTGATTCTTCATCCCCATCTCAACCTGTGGTAAACAACATCATAAGTGGACTTCTGGAATTCTGCTTGAGTTTTATTTACCTGCTTTCCAGGGTGCCGTTGTACAAAGGGATCTCAGAGTTAAGGTGATCGTAACTCCCATACCTTAACAAAGACTTACGACTGTCGTTGGCTAAGGTTGTTTTGTACAACGGCACCCAGGTCGTTAAATTGTATCAATCATACTTTGGGCCATGAATATATGATTCATCATAAGCATGCTTACAGGCAGCCTCCCAGCTAACACACGACGTTGTCACAACGTTGTGGAAAGGTTGAGGATTGGTAACATCGTGAAATAACGTTGTCACAACGTTATTATAACGTCAACGTGCAACGTTTTTTCACAACGTTATAACAACGTTGCACGTTCACGTTGTGAAAACGTTGTGCATCGGACATCGCACAACGTTTTGTAACTACGTTTCTGAAACGTCGGTTAAACGTTACAAAGTTTGCTTCTTGATAGTCATAAAGGAATAGAACTGCTTTATCAAAAATCAACATGAATTTGTCAGAATACCAAGGCAGTAATGCATTACCTTTCTGTTTATTCGGCATTTGAATTTTCATCTCTTAATACTAAAATTTCCAGAACGTTATTGCGTATCTCAATTACAACGTTAGTATTACGTTACATTGTAACGTTATTCCACAACGTAACAACAACGTTGCAAATTAACGTTGTGATAACGTTATGCTTTGGACATTACAACACTTTTTTGTAAATGATGTTTAGGAAACCACTTGTAGATCTACCATCTCGTAGTTTTATTTTTTTTAAACATATTTATCTATGAACGCTGTTATCTGTCTACTAAATGTTGTCACAAGCAAAATAACAGATAAAAACACATTGGCGCGCATTTTTTGCGGCGTGAGAGCGACTGCTGAAAAGTTTAGCCTGTTGCCTCGTGAAGTGACGTCAAAATGACGTCACATTGTCGCGGAAGATTTGTTGTCACCAGCCATCTTAGTTCAAGCACACTCTTGATATATTACAACCAAGTGATTGTGCAGCAACGGGAACTGGACAGATGATCTGTGAATTCGGATAAGGTAAGTTATTTTTCAAAAGCAGTCTCCGCTTGTTGATATGTTTCTGTACATGCAGATAGTCAAATGATTTAAATGTATCGTATTATTCAGTAGTGGCGGGGTTTAGAATGCAGTTTGCCGGTCACTTTCACTGAGCTGAGCGTCAGTGTTGATAGTAATAGGCCTATTTGATACACAGAACGTGATGTATATAGAGGTGAAGGAAGCCCATGACTTTTTTCCATATTATTATTTTATGGATACCAAGGGTAATTACCAAGGGCAAGCAGTATATGTTTGACCAGAATTCAGTCTGGCGGTGTTTTGTGGTCGTCATATTATGTTCGGGTTTCGATCGTAAGCGTATAAGGTCTGTAAATAGGCCTAACGTATGCATCACCTACTGACCACTGACAGTTATCGCCGTTTCTTCCGTGTTATTTCTGAAATCTGAAAGTTTACATGTACTAAAATTCTGACTTTGATTTTTGTGAAACAATGTGGCTCATTCAGGCCATGGGGAAAGGTTGAGTAGATTTCTCTTATACAGCGAAGAGAGGGAATCAAAACAATGGAAGTATTTTCAGATCGACGCTCTGTAGGCTGCTAGTTATAGCCCTAGTCTAAAGGGCTCAATGATGTTATGAAAAATTGTATTTTCGGGAAGAGACAGAAACATACTTGTTGTTCCCGAAAAGGCACAATCAGCACTGACTGAAGTAGCCTAAATGTGGATCATATGGTTGTTGGTGCTGTCTATAAAGTTTATTTGAGCAAGGCGCTTATCATGTGTATTTTTAATTTTTCCAAAAAAAAAGAATCAATTCATCATGTTCCGATAACTAGATCTATGTCCGACTCCCTTCTAATGAAAACGAGCAACAGTAAAACGAGTCTCGTCGCGCGCAATAACGGGGTGTTTGCGGTATTGTTCTCGCTGGTGATGATAAGCGAGTCGATAGTCAAAAGTTAAATATCACCATACATTGTCAGTGATTTAGTCATCGTTTGTTGATTATTAGGGTGAAATAGGTGTCGATCTAGTCAATGTGCACCAATGAAAAATGCAATGGAATTGATAGCAACCATATTCGTTCGGTTTTCGATCTCCGTATGTTGCCAGGTAGGCTACCATACTACAGAATTATATTTAACGATATTGAACTGTATTATGTTAATAAACGTAGTGTAAGTATATGATACTTGGTTCTCTGACACTTTTTGGCAATGAGAGAGAATAAAATGGTGATCGAAAACTGAACGAGTAAGTTCCAGTGCTCGCTACGAAATCATACTGTAGCTAGATCTATATAAACAGCGCTGCGATGAAGATGTGAGTCGTAATTAGCTACAATGCCTGTCTAATATATCTGTTCCCGTTTGGAAAAGGTCCCCAACAAACCATGTTTGTACTAACATGATTGTGTGTCATTGTACTCTGACAGAGGTTGTGAGACGTGGCTCACTATAATAATCACTGGTTTGCCTGACCGGTTTGTCAGACCGGTGTATATGTAAAACCAAATTACATTAGGTGGGTTTTTTTTTATGATGGTACTCATAATTTTGTTACTTATATCTGTAGTCTGAGTATATTTCCGATCGGACCTTATACATGAAGACTTTAGATTTACAGTTTTCCTAAATTTTAGGCAATTATACAATGTATGTTATCTTTTTGTTTAGACTACAGATCTAAATCTATGCTTATTGACTATAGTTTTAGTTTTGACTTTTTTAATATGTTGTCGTTGCAGCAAGGGGGAAAATGTTACACGACCATTCCATGAGATTAAATCAAGAATGTTGAATCATTGAGGAACACACCAAATACACCCTGGGCTGTGAATTATGTTAACGTAAGTACAATTGTTTACAGTTACATTCCATTGTCTATATCCATGTTAATTGGTGTGTATTTTTGCTTGAAATGAATGCTAAGAATGTAGATCTATTTATATAAATCTATGCTCGTACCACGTTTTGTATTCAACCTGATTCTTGATGTCTCTGAATGAAAGTTAAAATTTGTTTCCATCAGTCACTTGAATTATACATTATTGTTTGAATATTGATAAAACCTTATCTCCAAATGAATGTTTCTCGTCATATGAAATATTTCATATACCTGCTCGAGATTTATTAAGCTGTTTGTATTTCAGGGAAGTGGAAGTGAACACCAAAGAAAGAAGATTCTGGCATTCAATAATTTCGAATAGTGTATAAATTTTCTATAATCTAAAAATAATAAAATGTCAACACAAATGTGTCTTGGAGTTCTTTGTTGAATGGTGACTTCGCATGACTGAAAGTTGAAGTATACTATATGGACTTGATTAGAGACCGACCATTTAATATTCAAGGAGGTGGGGACCTGGAACTTTTCTATTGAGATTACATATGTTTTCGGTCACAGCTACAAAAGCAGATATATGGTTTTCTTTAACTCTATGAGCCTGAAGATAAGCACCTTGCATCTAGATCTATGTCATTTTTTTCACCAGTCTGAACCGTAATTATTTTTGTCAAGAATTTTCGGTGACAATATATTTTTTCGATAATATTCCAGGACCCGACCCTCCCCTGAAAATATCACATGGTCAACCCCTTACAATGTCTGCTATTCTTTTTTTTGTTTCTTTCAGTACAAGCCTAAAGGGTAATGGTGTCTGACTTTGTTATAGTCAAATCATGTATCTAGTTAACAGCTCAGTGGTGTTTTTACATTTTGAACATTGTTAGCAAAACACGATCTAACTCACTGCTAACCGGGCTATTCGACGCCCTGGTTTTAAAATATTGGTAAAAGGTATTTCGAATCGTACACATTCACGTGACTAAAGCATATTCTAAAACATTTCCGGAACAAGTTTTGGGGTTGTTTTTACAACATTTTATTGTGGAATGGTCACAACCGTATTTCATCCTTGTAACACAAAGTTATTTCACGTCCTTGTGACAACGTCCATGGTAGTACACAGACTAACGTTGTAGGGACGCATTATTATAACATTGCCACAACGTAAAATACAACATAACCACAACGTAAAAATACAACGTTCCCACAACGTAAAATACAACGTCATTACAACGTTGTGACGACGTGAATATGACGTAACACAACGTAAGGCCATGACGTTGTGACAACATAAATGGGAGTCCACAGAATAACGTTATATGGACGTAACATCCGCAACGTTACCACAACGTAAACACAACGTTATCACAACGTTCCCACAACGTAAAATACAACGTCATCACAACGTTGTGACGACGTGAATATGACGTAACACAACGTTAGGCCATGACGTTGTGACAACATAAATGGGAGTCCACAGAATAACGTTATATGGACGTAACATCCGCAACGTTGCCACAACGTAAACACAACGTTGTCACGACGTTGTCACAACGTGAAATTGTTAGCTGGGCTAACTCACACCTTAACAAAATTAATGATGTAAATTAAATAACTAAAATGGCAAGTTTTTGTAACAGGGTTTCACACATCTAAAGTTATTCAACTGACTGATCCGTACAAACAATTGGGCACTAGGCTCGGGCAAGTGACAGTCCTAGCAGTAGCAAGCTTAATTCAAGTCTTTAGGCACCACTTTGTATGTTCAACTCCTGCGTATGTCATTTATAAGGTAAGCAAACGAATGATTGCCGCAATAACACATACACAATGTCTCAGTTTCACGCAAGTACTGATTACAACGTCTACGTTGAAGACAGACAAGGCTCAGAGGCCCACGTTGATGATTACACCACAAGTCGATGACTTGTGCCAACCGACCACTATCATGTCGTGGACATCACATGGTCTCGACAAACAAACCGTATTTTTTAGTTCTATCGGCTGATCATTAGATACATAACACACTTACTGCTGTAAGAACTCTGAAGTCCTCTTTAGCCAAATATCGGAGAAGCGCAACGTTGAGTTTTCCCATGTTTTGGTTGTGAAATATGTCATACCATCCACACGTGTTATTGCCGGAAGTGATTATCCCAGCTGGTAAAGCTAAACGACATTGCTTATCTACTGTTTCGTACAGACATGTATTACAAACGACAGTGTTACAAGCGTTTTAAACACATATGGCAATCATGTTTTCAACTTTTTGAGATATACTTCAACACAGAATACTTAGAGTGGTGTTTAACACAAGGAAACACTACTCGATAAACCTTTCCCGAAGTTTAATATTTGAAGCGTCAGTAAAATCCCCCCCTTTTGAGAACCAAATGTAGTACATGTATGTTGAAGGTAAAATCAGTAAAATTGACTGAGAGAAGATTCTGATATTTTGGACCCCTCCGTATAAAAAAATGCTGGATCCACCCCTGGAAGATGTTACAATGAAAGTCTAATTCTTATTAATATAAACACATCTGATAACTTTCGTTATGATTTCAAGTGATGTTATACCTATATCAATGATATGAGTAACACCTCATGCGGAGCCGACGGATAGCATCCCTACCCTACCCTACAGTCAAAATAACCAGATGCTGAACAATGCTACGTGACCAAAGAAACAGAATATGTTTCCATCTGCAAGTCTAAAGGCATTTATTCCGCATTGCCATCTCCCAGGGATAAATTTTATGATATGAATATTTAAATGCATTTTTGACATAAAAATTTCGTTGTCTATAGATTGTACACAATTATGGACACTATAATATATTTATTGAAATAACAAATCTGATGTTATAAATTGTCTAAAATGAAGTTATGAAATCAAAAATAATAACTACATCGCATGTGTAAACTAGTATTTACAAATCACAACTATTTCTTGAAATCGAAAAAGTGTTATCAATTACCTTAAATGTATCATACACTCTAATCCATGAATCGAATCGATTTTGCATTGTCTGATATCGATAAATCTGTTTTCTCATATCACGAATTCCACATTCTATAATAACCGCTTCCTTTGAATGCCGTGTCCATTACTGACACGTTTCAAAAACATTTGATACATTAGTCATACATATGATGATATATTTTGCTGTAGTTAAACTGTTTTCCAAAACACTGTCCAACGAAGCAGCCCTTGCCTTTGCGTGACACGAAGTGAATGAAGTGATATCACACACAGAAATGTAAGATACCTAACGTTCAAATAAGTGTTTTCAATACAGAACTCAGTTTTAAGATAACTGTAATTCGTAATGTTTACATCAGTGTACCACTAATATAATAAAGCACGGACTACAAAGTAAAGAGGCGTCTCCCACAAGTCTTCCACGACTACGTGACGAACCCCCGGGAATAAACGAGGGACGAATGGTGGGGATCGGTAGCCGCCACTACAAGCCACATTGATCACAGAATTCCGAAACAACCTTCAACCCGAATGCCCGTGACCCATTCAGTCTGTCAGGTATTCACCCCTGTATAAGAAGCTGCGTGTAGCAGGTTCGAATCCAATAGTCATCATATACTTGTGATACGTCCTTTGCTAGCGGGGGCACGGGTGGCACGTCTGAGGCAACGTATTCCACTGTGCAGAGTTGTGTCCCTTGGCACGCCAGAAACCTATGATTGTGGTTTCGAATCCCCGTTCGCCCCGATTATATTTCTAGGTTTGTCAGCACCATACCCTTGCTCGTGAGTTTCACCAAAGTGGTAAACGTCTGAGGCCTGCGTCCCTTCAGACTTTCCTCCCACACTAAGCTGACACGCCGTTATATAACTTGAATAGTGTAGACTGGCATTTGTCCCAGAAATAAAGTTATCTTATTTAAAAATATATATCTACAAAATAAAAAGAATAAAATCCAAATGGAGCCCAGAACAATCCTTAACTCCTGGAGCTGAGGCAATCTAGACTTGCCAAATGAAGTGGACTCCTTTTTAAATTTGTTTCTCTAGGGTCTGGGATACCTAGGAGCCTATAGGAATACTGTTCAATGTGGCGTTAATCCAACTCACTCACTCCTCTGTCAGCACCGAATCCGTTGTCAATGGGGACACCTGCGACCTGTGCCACATGTACTATGGCCATTCCTCCCAGCACTGGAATATTGTCTAAAGCTGTCATGAATCCTCACTCACTCATAAGGATTATTAAAAATCGTCCATCAAAAATTGCATTACAAGTATACTGCTGTGCATTTATAAATAGCTGAAAAATATAAACTAGCTAAAAACAAAATGAGATCAATTTAGTCGATCGCACACAATATATTAATTATAACTATTTTTCGTAGTCTAAGATGAGCCTAACATGCGGGTTGGTTTTGGCGGCAGTCAGTAATGGAAATATACTAAGTGGTATATACGTTATTTGTTGTCTAACAAGAGTTCTGAGTTCGCATCCTGACACTAATAAACCAACTCTCATCTCATGGACTAAGTGTGTGTCAGTGTTCAACCACCGCGCGGGATATTCGCAGTTGTCCCCCCCCCCCCCCCCCCCTCGATATTTATTCAGTATGTCAACTGAAATAAACACCTACGTGTTCATAAACATTAACAACAACTTCCCATTTTTGGAAAACCCATGGCAAAGCGTTTCACCGGCGATATCGATCTGAAACTTTCTCGGAGTCGAGTCCCACGGGTAAAGGTAATTTCCTTGTCTCGGACAAACAAAGTCCCCATCATCTAAACGCGTGTTGGGATTATTTTACAACTGAAACAGCAAACTGTCTCCGCTGGCTGCTGCCGCTGCGCTATTTTGTCCGTTAACGATGTAAATCACGCTCCGTCGTTCAAGAACGGCCCGGGATGGACTGTAATCTGCTCGTGTCTGCAAATGGCGCCCGAGTGATGACAGCTACTCGGTTGTGTTCATCGCCAGCGCTCTACTGTGTAACTAGAGACGGTTCTCCACGCGCTGCCTCTTTGATGATGCGATTGTTTACAACAACTTTTTCCTTTTCAGAAACTCGTTGCTTTGATTTAAGAATATGAATATTAATATATTTCTATTAAGTCAAAGCACTTTTTGTTTTCTTCTCAGTGTTAGCAGTTTTCTTTTTTATGAACGTTTTGGAGTTTTGATGGATAGAGATGCTGTTGGAATTGAAACTAAATCCTTGTAACGCATAGGTTGTCTCCCTTTGACCAGATGGTCTATGTACTTGAACCTGAGCGTGGTTTTCGTTCGACCTTGTCAACGACACTCGAGGAATCCTGACCAGAACCACGGATCTATATAACGGTTATATAGGTCCGTGGTAGAACACACTAAAGTCACTTATTTTTTCATGTGTGTGTGTATATATATATCAACTGCTATTATTTTGATACTAGTATTGCGTGTTTTGTCATTCACTAGGGAAAGTGTGTTTTGCTCGGCTCTTAACTTACCACTGTTCCACACTATTGACGGGACACGAAGGTGGGTTCACATTCACCTTAGGCGCGACGAGTGAACGCGTTATCCACTAAGCTACCCCACAGCCCCACATATAATCGTTCAAGGGCGGATCCAGCATTTGTTAAAGGGAGGGGTCCAAAATATCCAAATCCTCTCTCAGATAGTTTTACTGCCTTCAACATATTTAATTTAGTTTTCAAAATGGTGGATGGGTGGGGTACGGCTCTGGATCCGCCTATGTCGTGGGTTCGAATCCCAGAACCGCCCTAATCACAACTCGTGGGTTTAACCAAAGTGGTTAAAAAGTGACATGTTACTCGACCATGGGTATGTCACATTTAATCCTGTACGTCAGTCACGTTTATTGCCAAAAAAGTCATGCGTCATATGAAGCATACTCTGGTATCCATAAATCATAATCCTCGGCAACTGACACTGAATCAAAGAGACGGGTTCAGTGTGTGCCCCGTGGTATTTGTCGGTATTCTTGGTGGAACAAAATGAAAAGCATTCCTCGGCATCCCTCTTGTTCTCCGTAAAAGAGGGAACTGTACAGTCCTACCGCCCTCCTCACATTTTGGAAGATGTATCTGAGAAACTGTATTTATATGTAGCGTAAACGTCTTGAGACCTGCAGCTCCCACATCAAGCTGACACGCCGTGATATAACTGAAATACACTACAGTTGAAAGCGGCGTTAAACCCAACTCAGTCCCTACGATGATGCATAACACAGAGTGAAACACCATTAACTCACTCACTCAAGTGACAAGGGGTCCGGGTGCCAGGCGACTCAGACAGAGTAATACCATGTCACCACCTTATCCGTGCTCGTGGGTTTCACCGAAGTTTTGTTTGTTTGTTTGTTGTTTAACGCCGCATTCAGCAATATTCCAGCTATATGACGGCGGTCTGTAGATAAACGAGTCTGGACCAGACAATCCAGTGATTGACATCATGAGCATCGATCCACGCAATTGGGACACGATGACATGCATCAATCAAGTCAGCGAGCCTGACCACCCGATCCGGTTAGTCGCCTCTTAGGACATGCATAGTCGCCCTTTACGGCAAGAACGGGTACCCGAAGACCTATTCCACCCCGGATCTTCACGGGTCTTCACCAAAGTGGTAAACGTGGAGGACCCTCATCACTTTGGGCTTTCCTCCCACATCAAGCTGACATACTATAATATAACTGGATACTGTTTAAAGCGGCGTTAAACCAACTCACTCACAACGACACCGCTCCAATCTGAACCGACGCAACACCATTAGAACTGCCTACACCGTCTACTCTACAAATACTGGTCGAGTCTCACAAACTTCTATCGATAAAGTAAAGTATACAACTACCAATAGATTGATGCATATTCTGACCTTATAATGTAAATTTTTATTCATGTTTTTCCTGTTCGACTAAATTTTAACAAAAACTCTACATAAAACAACGACTCACGCGAAATATTTCAACATCAACCATAAACCTAGCTGAAAAAACAGATCATGAAAAAAGCGTTTAGCAATGCCGAGTTACAGTGTTCAAGCACGGAGGCACCGCCGTAGTCAGTACTAGTCGATCAAAAGTTGCGACTTTTACAGCGCTGGATTCAAGCGGAATGGCCAAGCATAGGCAAACACGCACATGGTGAAAAAAACTCGCAACGATTGATTGATGTCCCAGGGAGCGT